CAGACTGCTGTGGGATATCTCGTGAGTCCCCAGCCTCCCCGGGCAGCCTGCCATGAACGCTTTCCGCCCTGTTCCCCCTCACGGCCCCAGCTCACCGCCGCCCCTCAGCACGTCCCGCCGGCACCGCGATGGAACTTCGCGCCAAAGCGCGCGCGGAGCTCCGCCCCCCGGCGGGGCGCGCGCACAGGGCGGGCGAAGGCGCGGCGCCGCCATGTTGGTGCCGGGTGCCCGCAGATAAGGTGGCGGCGGGCGGGGCCGGCCCCGGGGAGGAAGCGGAAAGCGGCGGGGCCCCTCACGGAAACGGGACCGGGTTCGGAGCGGCGAGCGGGGCCGTKCAGCCGCCGCCATGGCCAACCGCACGGTGAAGGACGCGCACAGCATCCACGGCACCAACCCGCAGTACCTGGTGGAGAAGATCATCCGCACKCGCATCTACGAGTCCAAGTACTGGAAGGAGGAGTGTTTCGGCCTCACGGGTATGGCGGGCGGGASGCCGGGCCGGGYTGGGGCGGGGGGCCCKGGGGGAGCCCGCGCTGACAGTCCGGCCTGTCCCTCTCGCAGCCGAGCTGGTGGTGGACAAGGCCATGGAGCTGAAGTACGTGGGGGGCGTCTATGGAGGGAACATTAAACCCACGCCCTTCTTGTGCCTGACGCTGAAGATGCTGCAGATCCAGCCGGAGAAGGACATCATCGTGGAGTTCATAAAAAACGAAGACTTCAAGTAAGTTGTTGTGTGATTTTTCTCTTGTTGGGGTTGTTGTACCGAGGGGAAGTGCCCAAAACAGCCAGAGAAACCTCAGTGCAGGGTTTAGCTGTCAGTGGGCCCTGATAAACTGTGCTTGCCTAAGATCAAGTCTTTCCTTTTGCTTTCAAGACTGCTGTCATTGTTACCTGGCCTGTTGGAAAGGCTCATCTTTGTGGCATATGCTCTCTGTGATAATAMATGTTTGCCTGAAGTATATGGAATAAGGTGCTTTAAGGGATTCATGTCAATTTACCTTTTCTTCAGTATTTCTTCCATCTTTGTCAGTGGTAATGCCCCCATGCAGACATATATGTTAAGTGTATATATGCTTTTCATATTCCTGAGGAGATGATGGAGCAAATCTAAATGGCTCTGCATTCTGGTCAGTGTACTCATTTTCCTCAGAAATTTATGGGAGCAACTCTTTTTTGTTTTAAATCCAAACTGCTAAGTGTGCAAGAAGTCCAGATCCACGAACAGGTTTCCTTTCCAGGTATGTCCGAATGCTTGGAGCGCTGTACATGAGACTGACAGGCACTGCCATCGACTGCTACAAGTACCTGGAACCACTGTACAATGACTATAGGAAAATTAAAAGTCAGAACAGAAATGGGGGTAAAYATTCTTATTTCTATTTAGCAGTATWAATTTTAAAAATTGYRGTATAASCAYCCTGTTGACCTAAGTTRTCTGAAGTGTTTCAGCTTTACTTCAGCCACTAGTGTTAGTTTTATCTTTTAAACGCTATTTTTCATCCCCAGAATTCGAGCTGATGCACGTGGATGAATTTATTGATGAACTACTCCATGAGGAACGTGTTTGCGATATCATCCTGCCTCGACTGCAGGTTGGGAAATGTAGTTGGTTACGGAATTCCTAACTGCATAAAGTTCAGTAGCTGTATCAACTACTGGCTTGTTGTGTGAGCTATGGATGCCTCCTTGGGTGTTTGTTGAATRAAGTTGCAATTTCTCCTAGAAACGGTATGTTCTGGAAGAAGCTGAGCAACTYGAGCCTCGTGTTAGTGCTCTGGAAGAAGACATGGATGATGTGGAATCTAGTGAGGAGGAGGAGGAAGAAGATGAAAAGGTTGGTGAACTGTTTGGAGAGGAATAGTTGAAGCTGAACCACTTTAGAACACTTTCTGGGCTATGACAGATATTTGAGGGGAGGCATGAGGAGGCTGCTGGCAACTTCTCACCCCATAACGTATTTTCACATAAGCAGCTTGTGAGGACTTAGACCCAGAAGCAGTTCTCAGGTTGTCAAGTTTTCCTGGTTCTTGAAATCTACAAATCTGTATCTGTTCTGTATTTAGATAAACTTGTTTACATGCATATATAATGGAGAGAAGTAAAGGTGATGATGGAAGGTCCTGTGACCATCAGTGAGTGTTGCTTCTTCAGAACCAACACTAGAAGTGGCTGTTTGAATTTCCAGTTGGCAGTTTTGGGCACTGATCTCAACATGAAATATTTGAGGATGGGGAAGCTTGGTTGCATGACTTTTGCAATTTATATTAGTTGTTCAGAAATCTTTACTGATAGCTARAAACCTTGATGAAATAAGACTTACAGAACCTTCCTGCTCCTTGTTTCCAGCTGGAACGAATCCCATCTCCTGACCACCGCAGAAGGGGGTACAGAGACCTGGACAAACCCCGCAGATCTCCGGTGGTGCGGTACAGGCGGAGCCGGAGCAGGTCTCCAAGGAGGTGAGGTGACTCTTTCCTTGAGCAGTGTTTTTACCCATTGTGCTGCACATGGCTGGAGCACAGAAGTGAAGGTGGCAGCTCAGCCACAACCTCCCCCACAGCCACAGTCAGCCCCTCTGCCCATTTCTCCAGTCCTTCAGTAACTCAGTAAYTCTTGAACTTGCTGGCCAGTTTTAGGTAAATTTGACAATACAGTGAAGATGTTAAGGAGAACCAAATACTTTGTTTTCATGTAAGCCAGAGGCTGCAGAGAAAATCCTATTAATTGCTCTTACTGATTATAAACCAAGAAAAATTAATCACAAAACTCCTTTGCTCACTGTATGGTCCAGGCCAGAAGCAGGTCCATATGCAGCAGGTCAAATAAACTGATGGGAAGGAGAAGGCCTGGTGCTGTTGCTGAAGAATATGGGAATTGAAACAGCTGTTCTGATAATGATTTTTAGTGATCTTTGCTTTTCTCCCTCAATTGCAGGCGCAGCCGCTCTCCAAAGAGAAGAAGGTACTCTATTATTCTATTATTTAAGCTGAGAAATGTGCATTATTAGTACAGCTCTCTTACAAGCTGCCTTCCCCTCAGCCCGTCACCACGCCGGGAGAGGCATCGCAGCAAAAGCCCGAGACGGCACCGCAGCAGATCCCGGGAGAGGCGCCACAGATCAAGATCTAAATCTCCAGGTATTTCTGTCACTTCCAGATTAACTGTGGCAAGTCTTTATMAGCAGCCCATCTGCTGCAGGAAAAATATGTGTCACCATATCAAGATGGTAGCACAGGTGCTCAATCTGGGTGATAAAATTTCTGCTTACATGAAAGCAGAGCTGGAGAACTTCTTTAATGGCTGCAAAATTGTCTTGATGAAGTTTTCAGATACTTGCCAGGAGGTTAATTTGAGTGCCTGGTTAAGGCTGTAGTTGTTGGCATTGTGTAGCACACTTGGTCTCTAGAAGCAGATTGCATTAGCAAAATAACAAAGAATTCCAGTGGCAATGGAAGTAACTTTTGTCTTTTTATCTCATAGGGCATCACCGTAGTCACAGACACAGAAGYCATTCCAAATCACCTGAAAGGTACAGGCTTGGTGTATTACTTAAGGGCAGTTTGGGAATTGAAGATAGGTTTTACAATATTGGCTTCTTGCTTTTTCTGTTTCAGATCTAAGAAAAGTCACAAAAAGAGTCGGCGAGGGAATGAGTAACAAACTAAACCCAGCCCACAGTTTAAGGATCTTGAACTGCAGTCTGATGCTGCCCTATTTGCTCTACAGGACAGCTCGATCTGTATTGGCTGCTTTAGCAGTCCCTTTCTTTAATCATTCTCATTTTGTTGTCTTGGATTTTTTTATTAAACGTAAGCTAAGGATACTTTTTATGTATTTCATTACTCCTTGTGATAGAATTTGAAGATTGTTTTTAAATTGTTTTTCTTGAAGCTTGTAAAAACTAGTGAAAAGCAATAAAAAAAGGGATGTTTGTGTTTAAAGGCTCCTACATGTTTCCTTCATAATACTTTGAGATGTGATTATGCCATCAGAGAATTTAGAAGGTTCAAGTAGTACAAAGCACTGCTTAATTCTTATGGGGCAAGAACTTCAATATATTTAAAGACAGTACACCACTACTTTGAGGATAGTTTGTGGCCTCCCTGTGACTGGGGACAGAATATGACACCAYTGTGTTCAGCTCTACCTTCTCTCAATGAAGTTAGCTTTTTAAGGCTTAAGGATTCTTGTATTTCCCTGTGAGTGTTGACAACAGAAAGAGTATGCCTAGTAGATTTATRGAAACTCCTTAAAACTGCTTCCCAGTACAGCCTAAATCTTCCAGCGTATTTGTGTATTATTTTGCAAAGCTGCTAAACAGAAAAGCTCTTTCTAAGCAGGAAAGGTGTGTTCTTCCTTCAAGTATAGGACACACATGGGCATGGAGAAAAACAAGTCTAATGCTTGTGTCACTTGTTAAAACTGCTTAACTTTCCAAGGTCTTCACATAAAAGCCGTTTTTATTCCAGTTAAAGCGAGCATACGTACAAATAGGGAAAAGTCTTTATGTCCTTTTTTTGCAGTTTTATTTTTCTTTTTAAAAAGTTTTTTGGCACTACATAGTTCTGTAAAGAATAGAAGTGACAAATTTTTAAACACATGAAATCCCCTTCTAATTTTATTTTTTTTTAGAACAATATATATAAAGTCTGAAGCAACCAAAGTATGAATACAGCTAATAGAAAATAAAGAACTTAATTTTAAAAATTCTCTCTCTTTACAGTTTATCAAGATAAAACAAAACACAATTCCCCTTAAAAATAGGGTAATAAAATAGATGAAATTTGTATCACTCAGTTTTGTGATACTAGTAAAAACTATAGATCATATCTATGTACAAATGATACAGTTTAAAAACAGTCTTAAATAATCTTGTATCTAAACATGTTGCATTAAGATTTTAAATCAGAACCTGAATTTTTTCCTCCCCTCCCCCCACCCACCCACAATCCCATCCAATTTCACTTTTTCTGTTGAATGTAATTCAGATTCAAGTGTGGGTGTCCTTGAGACAGAAGCGGGAACCGCTGGTTACTCTGCATCAGTGGACCAGCTAAAAGAAAATGGATTACAGTTACTTCAGCAAATCAAATATTTAACAGTGCTTGGCTATATTCAGTCTACTAATCTAACTTATAAATAAAGCCATTTACTAGACTGACACAAATGCTATCTATCTGTACCACTAACCCATTTAATGGTACAATGCAGAATTACTTTAATCCTRTCTTCAAAATTCCCTAAGAATCATCAATATATCATTTTGTTGTATTACTTCAGTTACGTAACAAAAATAATTTCAGGATTTTAAGTAAATTCASTTTTCACCTGAAAACCCTGCTAGAGCCAATAGTTTAGATTTTGAAAAAGGGCTTGGTGCCTATATCTCTCATTTCATACCAAGTGACCCCAGCAACAGAAGTTGCACATCCTCCAGGTCAAATTTGAGCATCATTTCTCTGGTCCTGGAGGTCTTTTTCCTACAGCTTTTCCCCATCCTGCCAGATGCTGAACACCTTTATCTTTCATAAACATCAAAGCTGAAAGCAAATCAGTCCTTCCCAGTTCCCTGATAAACTGAACTTGACCTAACTTTGCAGTCAGTGCTGCTCTGACTGCAGATGGGCTGGACTAAACCTCCAGAGGCGCCTTCCAAMCTCWATTATTCTATGGTCTTGCAAGTTTTTATCTATTAAGTAATTTCACAAAGCAAGGTACAAAAGCCAAATAAAGTGAATTAGGGCAAAAATCTCTTCATATTCTGAACATTCTCATGGGTCAATCATCTTAACCTCTATTGAAGCAGAGGCAGCTCTACAGTGAGCCAGGAGCAGCAAGGAAAAAGGCTGAAGAGCAACAGGCTGCAAACTGGCTCAGATTCCAGAATTTTATTTTAACTAACCCTTCCCTCCCACAAAGATTTTCACTGATCCACAGATGAAGCCAAAGCACTGATTTGACTCTTGGATTTGCTATGGTTCCAGGGAGCCTAGCAAGTGACACATGATTCCTTGGCTTTTAAAGCCTTTGAGACAGTAAAGAGACATGTTGCATGAGCTGTTGATTCACATACTGGTTCTAGTACCTTGAGGGTAGAAAGGTTTGTTCGGTGGGTAGCTGGCATTTCCCTGCTGCATGTAGTTCTGAGGCATATTGTAAGGCCACGCTCCTCGGAGGAGAGGAAAATGGGTAGGGGTCCCATGGTCCCAAGGGACAGAAGGAGGGTTCATTTTACCAAACTGTCCTTGGAAACCCTGATCTATTTTTCAATTGAAAGGGAAAAGCACATTGCAAGTTGAAATAATTAAACAGTAAGTCACAAATACAATTTACATCTTAAATAACAGTTTGCAGGGACTTAATGCAATTAGTCTCATGTGCTACTTTGCTTTTTTTTTTTAATATACATCAGTAAACATTACCACCTAAATTACTTCATTATTCACCATAATAGAATTATTGGGAAGAGAGAAGATGAATCAATATTAAAATCAAGAGCTATGATTTCACTATTGTTATGTCTTTCTCATGAAGAAAAATGCAAGATCTGAAAACATTATTTCTATCTGATCTCACASAAATATCCACTATTATTGACAGAGCTGTGACATGACAGCTATTATTCTACTGCAAGAAATAATTCCCAGATGTACACTGGAATTCCCCTAATACTTACATATTTAAGAAACTTGCTGCCTAGATCACTGGACTGACTTTAAAATTGATTTTTAGAGAGAAAAATATAAACTTTGGAAATAAGTATATGAAGTGTAAGCTATCCCATTTATAATTCYGACATCACTGCAACATTAAGGATGAGAAATCAAGCATCCAAGGAGGCAGGACCCATAAGCTCTGGGGTAGGTATTAGAAAGAATTGTCTTGATACTTCTAATGATCCTACTTTTGATCAGTTGTCRGCTCAAAAGAAAATTCAATTAAAGTAGCTCCTTTCAAGTCAAGATTATGAGAGCCAGGACAAAATTTCCTCAAATTTACTGTTCTCAAATTGTCCTGAGGASGTAAGAAACCAGGCTTCAAACAGACAGGAGAGGGCTCATCTCTACTGTGCACACACCTTAATGGCATCTGAGCCAAAAAGAAAATAAAACTGATTCAAATACAAAGAGGAAAAATACCATCACTGGGAACAGGAAAAGGAGTGTGATGAGGTTGGAAACTGATGGAAGAGGAGGGATGGGAAAAAATTACWGTAACTGACAGCACAAGAAAACTGGGAGAATGGAGAAGGAATTAGAATTTATGGARCTTGTCTGAAAGAAGGCAGCCACCTTAGTAAGGAGATGTGGATTGGAAGGAGCTGCCTGGGGATAAGACAAAGCTGAAGGGGTCAGATGAGAATGAAGATCAGTAACAGAGAGGTAGGGACAGAGCACACTGGGACACAGAAAACACACAGGTAGGAGCTCCTGTATCCTCTAAAATATATTCCCCACAAAGTTTTACATAGAAAAATCATGTATCTCCAGCACCCTAACATATATTTGAAACCCACTGGTGAATTATTCCTCATCCAAAACTGTTGATTCAGCTGAGAATCTACTGTTACTGACAATCATCTTGTTCGTGCAGAGAAAGGCTGGGCAGGAGATTCAGAATTTTCATCTTGTGATGAACAACTGCACCAATACATTGTATTATGGATTTATTTTTTCAAACATAGGACTTACTCAGAATAAATCAGAAGACCACCACCAGGGTTAATGATATGAAGGTTAACATGTAGGGGCTGCCACAGTTCATGTGGCAGAGAAAACTGAACAGGCTTTTATCATTATACACTGCTTTTTCTCAGCCTCAAACACACCAATGTACTTGGGTTTGCTATGGGCAAGAAGCTGTTGCCCACTTGTCACAGGAAAATATGGAGACTATGGAAGTTAAATGTGGCAGGATAAACCACAYGAGAAAAGAGAATGAATAAGATCATACTACATTGTACTAAAGGCAAGGAGACTATTCAATTTGCACAGCTGTAATTCTGCCAGTCTCCAAGTTCATGCTTGCAATCTCAGCATTTGTCTAATAAATTATGTAACGATGTGTTGCTCTCAGAGGTCTTYTCCAACCTTAATGTTACCATGATTGTCTGATATAAGGAATCAGCACATTCACAGAAATATGAGCGATTCAAACAATGATGAGGAGCTTTCCCAGTTGAATGCAGGATTTCTCATAGTTGCACAGCCATTAATGGCAGACAGGACTAATGCCTAAAAGTTACGGTGATCAATTCTACTTTTTTTGCCTATGAAAACATTAAGAYAGGTGAAAGTCATGACTTTGTTTCTTAAGCATCATCTTTTTTTTATAAAACAAGTTGAAAGAGTTAGCTGTTCCTGTAACACATAACACTTGCACACAAAGTAGGAGAGGTTTGATACAACAGAGAAGAGTTACCTGAATTCCCCACAGTGCCATTGTTCACCAGTGAGTTTGGAGTCACAGGATTGTGCCAGTGTCCCTCATGAGAAGTGCTGGGGATTCCCATGGGCCTGGCAGCAGGCTGTGCAAAGATGATACTGGGATCATTCAAGCTTACACTGCTCTGGTTATTTGTGGTGCTGCTGCTGCCAGATCTCATAGAAAATGGAACATTTGTAGAATGAGGAGGGTTACCCGGTGCAGAGTGAATAACGGGCCCATGAATAGGCCAAGAAGTGTTGGGAAGCTGAATTTGGTGGTGATGGTGCATCTGAAGTAGTCCCAGGTTATGCAAGGAATACTGACCTGGGGGAGATTGGGGAAAGTTAAACAAAGGCAGCTGGACCTGATGGGGTGGCTGTGCACCCTGCTGTGGCTGTGGAACGTGCTTAGACTGGGATATTGATTGTGGCTGAGTCTGGTTAATGGAGGCTGGCTGAGAGGAATTCTGTGGGAATTGTTGAGGTTGTGGAGAGTAAGATGACTGATGTGAATCAGACTGGAGGGAAAAAAAAAGCATGTATTTCTGATTAGTTCACTAGCTATTTAATGGTGTTTTCTTTAATAAGCACCCACTGTATTAAATTATTCATAAAATGGCAAAGCACTCCCCAGTAACACCCCAAACACTGCACCCAAGTTCCTGTTGGCTTCAGTAAGTGCAGCTCAACTGACACTGACTTTCACCAACAGATAACTCAGTCTGTTAATGTGGCACATCCCACCATCAAAAACATCATTCTGAGCAAACATTAGCCCCAAGCTCTTCATGAGACTCYTCACATGCTTATTTCTGATTATTAATCAGTGTCTTCCCTATCCTRTTTATTTACAGCCCAGTATCTCATTAACTAATTGCCTTACTTCTAAATAGAGTGRTTCTTATTACTGCACGGTTTTATACGTAATTCCAAAGGAAAATTKTAATATTTCTCTTCTTTTTTAAAATCTGTTAAACCAGAAATGCAGATTCCAAAAGCCCAGTTTTAACCTTCATATCCTGATGTTAGGCATGGCTACAGGTGGAGTTATAGCAATTATGACAGCCTTTGCAGAGCTCTTACAAAGCTTTCCCTTTCACCAGCACCAGAAAGTGGCATGAGGCTATTTTAACTGTTTGGAATTGCAACTAGAGAAGCAAACACTCATGCAAATATGGACCCACCACAAGCACGCACAGGATGTAGCAGCAGGAGRGGAGGAATATTACGCTCCAACCTCTTCATCTGCTTTCTATCCTTTCCCCYTTACTCCACCAATATTCCCCTCTCCTGTTTTTCTCAAACAATTCCTGGACAGAACATTTTCACCAAGAAATCTGGGCCAAATGACAACCACGCAACATACAGAGTCCATAACATCCASGTGACACAAGAATGTGCACATGATGTGTCTGCCTCTGTGTGCACCCACATGTTCAGCTTTGGTTCCCCAAGCAGAAATACAAAGCTCCTAAAAATACTCCTGTGGCAGGTTCAGCCCTTCACTTAGATTAGGGCTGTATCAGTCTGTCTTTAGCAGCACACTGTACGTCATAAGGTCTCTGTTACTGGAGCCAGCATTCCAATAAATGCTTGCTGATCACTTAGGAAAGTATTAAACTGAATGAAGAGCATTAGTGATCAGCAGCCCTGATTACTGTATTTGCTTACTTGCCAGCTTCATTAGCAGRCAAATGCTTCTCAGACTAACAGCTTAAAATAAATTAATTTCTGCTGTACTGTCTGCTTCAAAAATGTTAAGTGCCAACAGTTGTATTTGCTCAAATACCCTCTGCTACCCATCTCCACTCAGAAAGAGATTAAAAATATTTTATGTAGCTCTACAGAGACTTGAACAAATTCTAGGATAAAATGACCAAAAATGTCCCCAGTGCTCTGCTTTGTGCTTCCAGGGTGCTCTGGCAGACTCTTCATTGAAGTATGACTCAGCTGTGTTCTGTCTGTTCACGACAGTCCCTTAAGAAAAATCTCTTAAACCACAGAGTCATGGCTGTCACTAACCAAGGTCTCCAGCATGTTAACAATGAGCTGTGTGCTTTATCTCCCTTAGTAAGTCCAGAACACTGCCAGCATAATGAGAATTTGAAAGGCATCCTAGCTTAAATCTGGCCTTTCAGAATCGCAAGGCATCTCATACCAAATTTGAYTGTGGTTTTTTCCATACTGAAAAACCATAAATGCTCCCCAAGAGATATAACATCATAAATCAAAGTTTCAGCAACTGGTATAGTGCAATGTTGTCCTTATAAAGTCCAGAATCTGTTGAGAAAAAACTATGCAAACCTGTTGCCAGCTTGGTTTGCTACAGCTTTGCTCCCTGCAAGCCCCCACTGACAGAACTTACACATTCTGATGACTGCCGGGTGCGCAGGGGTCGCTCCACCTGCTGCTGGCCCACTGCCACCAGCTGGGAATTTACCATGCTCCGGACCAGCTGCGTGCCTGATCAAGGAACAGAAATGTTAATAAAACCCACAAGGTGACAGAATAATGAGYAGAACTGGGAGTCAGCAATACCTTAACTCTCATGTGATACAGAGTAGGTAAATCATTTTCACCTCTCCTTTAAGTGGAAACGTTACTGCCAGCAGACAACATTAATAGATATGGCAGCTAAACACAAAAAACATCTATTTTTGAGTAAAACAAAATCTAGCAGGAACAAGACTCACTCTGCTATCAGGCTAGAGCTCTACTTTATATAGGTTTCCACATTACTGCTATAAGCAGTGACATTTTAAACAGCAATGGCAACAGCAGAAACTTCTGGGCAAAGAAAGTAAACCAAACAGAYAACAGAACACAGAAGCAAGGTTCTCTCTGAAGTTCATTTATGAATGCTTTTTCTACTTTTTCAACAGGCACCCAAGTGCCTAATTTGAGTAAGTTTGTAATTAATCTTCTCTCTAAGTACTATCAGTAATCTGAAAGCTGGATCTAGCCTAATTTATCTGTATGGGGTTTTTTTAAGTGTTACTAGAAGACCACTGATTTTTGTTGAAAATATATTTACTTACCTCTTACAGATGATGGAGGGTTGGCTAAYATTTGAAAAACATTTAGAAGAGGAAATGTGTTCTATTATTATTATTATTACTACTATTATTATTATTACTATTATTATGACTACTTCTAAATGCACTCATTGTGAGTGGAAGAGAAATAATGCAATACCTTGAAGTACAGTGTATTAACTGCTATGTAYATTTTTACCACCCATGCATAGATTGTACCTCAGGAAGCATTACTACCCTTGAAGAAAAGCAACACAGACTAAAAGTTGTATTTGCAATGACTGAAAAATTACTTGCAGGTGGTTTTTTTAAAGATAATTACCAAGTCTGGATAGAAACCTAGAGAAAAGGGATCTCAGAGCTTTCAAATTATCCTAACACATAAACTAACTTACCTGGCACGCTATTATTTCTCTGACGGGTTTGTTTGAATTCAGGACAATCTCTCCTAACATGACCCACATCCCCACAGATGAAACAYCTTTTCTCTCTTGTTTCTCTGTCATCTTCTTTCACCTCTTTTTCATCATCTTTCTCATTYTCCTTTTTCTTCAACCTGAACAATAATTTTTATTAGCAATATCACAAAACCACACACACAAACACATCATCTCTGTGGAGCTGTTGTACAATTAAGTTCAAAGGAAATGGTTACATAACCAACAGCTGTACCAGAATACAAATACGTCAGGAATCCCAAAAACACTTTCAGATGCTGGGCTCCTTAACAGTCTGCATAAACTTAATGAACTTACAAGCTCCCCAGATTTGTCTAAAAGCTGGCTGTATTGGAGCAGAACTATGCCTGCAGTTAAACAGGCTGAGCCTGCCAGGTGGCTGGGGAGTAGTKCTATGCAGCAATTCCACTGAGTCAGGATACACCCAAAACAAGGGAGCTGCACCTTGGTCATACAACTCCTCCTCACTGGAGAGGGCACATTTCTCTGTCAGTGTTTGGGCACAGACAGGGTGTGAAACAAAGCACTAAATGCTCTTTCAAACACTCAGTACTCATAAATGCATACTTCCATAAACACTTATTACAGAGATGATCAGAAACTGTTTTAAGGAAAGCAAGRATAGGATGGGAAACTGAGGATCAGATATAAAGCTCTGATTTTCTCTGCAATTCAGCAATTTTTTCATTTCCATTAAATCTTCAAATACTCAAATCCTGCATGATTTAATCTCAAAAGACTTCACGATAGCTTTGCATATTACTTACCGCCTCCTCTTTGGACAATCTTTCATGTAGTGACCAATTTTTCCACAGACACGACAACATCTGTCATTGGGTGCCAAYTCCCCATCTGTCAGCACTTTTGAGTCAAAAAAGTATTCCTAGCAAAACACATCAGACAGAYAAAATATCACAAAACYATTCACATACAAGACCGAGAAATGKAAGTCAAATTGTCAGCTTTYATCTCTTATTGCTCCTTGAATGTTACTACTTCTRAGATTATACCTGGTCCTTTTTCTCCCCTAGATAATGGCAGCTTTTTCACAGGAATGGAGCAGTTTGGGCTTAAAAGGGTTATTTGGTCTTAGGGACAGAGGCTGAATTTGCAGAACAGCTTATCCAAGCTCCAGCCTGCTGCCCACTTTTGTCTCCCCAAAGGCTCCTCAGAGGGCAATTTTTTGCATACAATCTATTTCGGTATCTGAGTCACTGCTTGTGTGCTTTCCAAAGCAGCCAATGTCCCTTCCCAAATGACATGATGACATCCCTTTAGACAGAGCACAGCTCAGGTGGGAAACAGATGGAGCATCTGCAGACTGACCTGTATCACTCCCCTCCCCTGGAATTTGCTCAGGACAGCTGCAGTTCTGATGTGTGTCAGCACAAAGACACAGATTACAGCCTCTGAGCAACACAAATATTGTGAAAGTACTGTCTTGCCTGAAAGACTGAAATAGAGGAACAAACTCAGAAAAAAAAACCATAGATAAAGCAAGCMATTGGAAAAGAAATGATAGGGAAGGATGATGGGAAATGAAAGCTTTMAATTTTTTTTTTAATCTTTTAGAAATTCAAGTTCTGTTAAAAGCCACTAGAAGAACAGTCCTTTCAACTGTTTTAGAAAATACCCTTCTAAGTTGATTTAAAAATACTGATTACAGTATTTTATTTGCTCATATTAAAAAAAAAAAGTTKTCTCACACATCAATGACTGGACCCTGTAGCACAGAGCAGTACTTTCTCCAAAATAACACTGCATTAACACATTCCTCACCCTGACTCACTATGCAAATTTTGAAGGTCAACTGTTAAACAAAAAAGTCAGCTATCTCCTTTTCCTTGCTTAAGCAGTAATCCTCACTATCTCCATCAATTGGAAAAACACATAGAAGGTAACATCTCTTGGATCTGTTTTCTTTAGCTACATGAAGAGCCAGTAAAGTTCCTTGAGCTATTTCTGAGTTTTCACAGCCAAATTTGCAGTTTTCTGCAATAGTGATCATCATACAGTGGGAAGTTTTACAAAACACAGAGCACAAATTAAGCTTACTTTCCCCAAAGCTGCTAATAATACCCATCACCCATCCAGCTACTCCTCTGAGTTTTATACTGCAGGAGCCCAGTACTAAGCTGAACATTTAATGCAGACAAAGYATAATTGCATATAYTGTGCATACCAAATTGATAAAAACRTACAAGAGATTTGTCTTCAGTCCATCAATTCAGTGGACWAAGAAAATTTTAAAACATACTAAAAACTCTGAAAACTTACAGCTTCTCTTCCAAGAGCTGGGTAGAATGGGGTACCAAATAGTTTTCTCCCGTTGATAAATGCCTTCATTATGAAATTGGTCACTATTGAAGAAAGACAAAGTTATTGGAAAACACCAGAAAAGGCACAACTCAGTGGACATTAATCATCAGCAAACATTARTAACTTACTTTTCCTAGAGACTCCAGCACCCAGATTATGATTCAAGTCAAATGGATCTGCACAAAGAAGGAAAAAACAAAAAAATCAGAGCTGGAAAAAATATGCTGCAAATATAACTCTTTATTTTAATGCAGAGAAATCCATTTTAGATGCATTCCCAGAGTAGATTATAGCAAAGCAACGCTGAATGTTTTAAAAATGTGACTAGCCATCATCCAGTAAGAACAATTCACTGACATCTAGTACAAGTTATGAGTTTCAATAATTCATTGAGCTGTAGGACTTGCAAACAATGTTTTTTTAAAACTCTGACTGTAGTCAGAGTTTTTCTCATATAAAGATCTGTGCAAAGAGAACACACTCTCAAACAACAGAGTTTCTTCCTCCCTCAYGAATGGAAAGTCAATTCAGCAGAGGAGTACCTTCGATGGCAATACACTTGGATGTCCACTGCTTCTCAAATGTAGTTAACAGCTTCTTCTGCCGGATGCTGATCACGTATTCCTTGAAGTCAAATTCCTCGGTGTAGAATCGCAGCAGCCCCAGCCAGAGCTCTCCAAGAGATTCAGTGTTCTTTCCAAGAGAAGGCAGACGCTTCTTCTGCATGCAATTGGGGAGAATTTATTCAGTTACAGTTACTGCAGCACTGCTTCTCTTGAAACACCTCTCCAATTACAAGTTTGTCTACTACGAATGGTTTCTTTTGGTTAAAGTAAGGTTAAATCACTACAGTTAAGACTAAACCTGGACTGTTTTCAAGAATAAAGAGTAATTTTCCTGATTTATATTTTTTAGAAATGACTTAAAAGAAACCAAAAAATAGCAGAAACTCATTTTAGCAAAACAGGACTCATTTGTGAAGTTGCAACACTATGGATACTGAAGTTTAATTAATTAATAGAATTAATCTTTTATATATTACACTGTTAGAAATTTATTACTTTTCCTCAAAAGCAATATTTAAGTTTTAGTGACTCTTCTGGAATTAGAATATTACCAATTCTTCCATGTCATCAAAGAAAAACGCATTCCATCCATCCACCATTCTTTGTGGAATCTGTTTGCCATCAAATATCTGCAGGAACAGAGAGTGACAGTTACTGCTCTAATTCACTGTAAAACACTTGCAGGGTTTTGGTAAAAAAAAATAAAAAAAATTTAACAATCAGTTATCATACAGACAGTATTTCCCATTGGAAAAAGCTTTTAAAGTCTTTTTGCATTGTTGCTGTACCTCTCAAATGATTTTATTTAATTTTTACTTGTTCTTTGCAACTAAAAAAACATGACTGAATTACCTTGTCAAGATTCCAACATCCCTCTTGCCCACAGATTCTCTACGGAGAYTTTATATGATTTCTATTACATTTTGAGTTTAGCACAGCCAAGGGGAAATTCCGTTATTTAAATGCACTCTCGGGGTAGCAGTAAAATAAAAACCCCCAACCACTACTAAAGTATCAGCAAGAAAGTCTATGAGTCTCAACTGCAATGCTTCAGCCAATTTTCCTCTTGCACACTGAAACCAAAAGAGGCAGAAAGGGATAATTTTAAGATGTTCTTGGGAGTTCCAGAGTGTATCCATGAAGAGGCAGCTGCATAATTATATTCTCCCCACCCATACAATGGGGGTACAGAACATTATTTTCCTAATAAAGTTTCCTGGCACATGTAAAATAATATCTTTAAAGCTGTACCAAAGCATCAATTATATTTTTTCCCCCTCATCAAACAAAAAAATAAACCTCTTCTCTTACAGATAAAGTCTTGAGCAATAAATAATGCTTCTGACAATAACTGGTTGAAGAGCTGGGCTCACATTTCAAGAGCATCTGGTGCAGTTTCATAATTACAATTCCCTTCTCTCCATACCACCTGCCAATTTTTTTCTATCCTGTCCAGCATATAAATATCATCGTAAGACCAAAATCCCAAAGTAAATGTAACAGCAGAACTTAGGCCCAACAGACTCCCAATTTTGATCTAATTGTCTTGGTAAGTTTTATCTACTAAAAGCAAGAGCAAGTTAAGAACCTGCTGGTTAGAAAGGCCCCATATTTCATTTATCCCCCCTGATCCTAAAAGCCCAGCCTTCTCATATTTGGTTTGAAGAAAAAGTACATCGATTTTCATAGCCTTATTTTCTGAACACCTACCTCTTGAAGAACTGGAATAACTGGWGGATTCCTCTGCTGCAGAAAGTACAAGACCATAAGAATATAGGCGTATGAAGACAGACTACCACGGGATGCATCACCAATATCGCAGCGCTGAAAAAATACATTTTAAACAAAATGCTGAATTCACATTTTACCATTCAAGACTAACAACTATGTCAGAGAGCAAACAGAAACCCCATAAGTAACARCAAATACTTTCACCTCATATTAAAAATTGTTTTATGAAGCCTGAAAAATAAATGCACCCAAGAGTCAACCGCCATCTGGCAAATCCAYAGCGTAATTTGTCTAACATAAAACGAGAAAAGCTTTTCATAGCCAAAATACTTAAAAAAAATTTTATAATGTGCCAAACTGAAAAAAAACCCATATCAAAACCCCCAAAACATAAATCCCAGGTTTCAATGCTGTAAAATTTAATTTTCTTAAACTCATGTGCCAAGARCTGTTTCTATGATTCCTTATTATTTTAGTTCCCCCTCCCCTTTTAAAAAAATAATTAAAGCAGCAAGAATTTCTATGCTGTCCTAGCAATGTAGGCAAAACGTGGCATTTTGCTAGCAAAYATACACATACCTAATTAAATCATGGTCCAGCCTGCACTAACAGTGCAAAACAAACATCCCTGCCCAGGTCAGGGAGTTGGAACCACGACGAGCTCTAAGGTCCCTTTAAACCCAGGCCCTTCTATGACTCTGATCAGTGACTGGCACCTTACTGTGCTTGAGTATCTCATTACAGTATAACCTTTCCACAGCACCTGCTTCTAAGCTATCCTGTGTTTTGAGGCTGTGTCATATCAAACAATGCATATTTAACCTCCCAGGCCTGGAAAAACCAGGGATTCGCAAATTACTTTCACATTAGCAGCAGCAGTGACAGCTGTTCCTGGGTTTTCTGCCAATGCAAACAGAGGAGGAGGCATTTTGCTTAAACCCAGAGTATTTGTATAGCTACAGTCACTTGCACACATATACATGCAGGAGTGCATATCCCACAACTTGGATATTTGATTTTTGCAGTAACAGTTTTAGAGCATGAACAATAGCATGCAATGCTACAAAAATAATGTAAGATTCATTGTTATCAACACAAGGCACTTTTAATCTGGACACAGAAGAGATAAGGCAATACTGTGCACTACTGTGACCACATCAAGAAAAACATCATTACTAGTCTCAGTGACAGTATAATGAAWGTGTCCATTCCATTCTGGCACAAAGTTATTTAATTCATCTTGATGTATTTTATTACACGAACATCTGGTAGCATGATGCACTCTCTATAAGCCATTTTTTATCTGCCCCAGTTCCACTAAGCTTTCTTTGGATGTGCTGTATTTAATACTGCAGCTTGCATAAAACGCAACACCAAGTTTCAATTATCAAAGGTTGCACAGTATAACATTTTGACAGAATATCACAGCAAAAGATGCAGGAGATCTGACTTTGCCAAACTCTAAAAATCAAGGTATGTCCTAGGCACATCAAGTAGGGGCTCAGGCATTCATTCATCACCCAATACCTACCTGCTCCTGACATTTATGTTAAGCAAAATGAGGCAAGTGTGCCAGAAGAAAGTAGCAGTAAGCTCTGGGCTGGTCTCAGATATGGAAGTTTGGGAAGCCCATGCACATCCACACGCGCCTACATCTTAGTCACCAGTTTTTCCAGTTTTGTTTGGAACTTGGRTGGGCTTTTTTGTTTGTTACAATTGCAGCTGGTTTGAAATTTAAGAAAAAAAGAGAAGTTTTCCTTTCATCAGCTTCCTCTCACACAGAAATCTTTCAGATAGCAGAAGGTACCAGGATATGATTTTGACACACACAGTCAGATGGAGCACAGTAAGTTTAAGAAAGTGCACTTCATATTAAGAGCATTCCACTGTCTCCTCTCCTGCTGGCAGAAGGCAAACTCAGTGGCTGCAGCAAAAAACACTGTATTGTACAAATACCTTTTTTTTATATTACCTTTGCAAAAACTTTCATTGTGTAGCCCAGATACTGCACTCTAGGATCAATAGCTGCATATGTAGCCAACATCCTTGTGTTATGCTGTGCCTGGGGAAAGAGGACAGAAAAAAGTCAARCAGGTGTCAGGGGGAGTCATTAAGTAACTAATTGTGCTATTTCACAGTGTAAGGTAAAAGCTGGAATAAGCTGCACTATTCATGATGGCAGACAGGCCATGGTGGATGTGGCACTAGTGGCTTTCCAGAAGCATCTCAAAAAAAAACCCTACTTGTGCCATAACCTGCTCTGCCATTGGGTCATACACAGTTACCGGGGTTGGGCTCGGGGTGTGGGCCACTGAACTGAAATAATGTAGAAGAAAAACCCAACCAGAGAAAAGGCATTTTAATCCCTGTTTCAAAATTATTCCCTCAAAACAATTATTTGAGTAAGGTAGAAAAATTCAAAGAATTTTAATTCTTTGAACACAGGAGCAGACACAAGCAGATGCTTACCAGTGTATTGTACAAACTGATGTCTCCTTCCAAGCCACTCCGTCTGTGTTCAAACTTTACTATAGGCACTTTGGCTGTTGTTATAGGCAAGATGTTCCTCAAACCTGAGGAAGCAACACTTTAGTACATAAAACATTTCCATTAACAACATTTAYAGTAAATCTAACTGCAAAACAATTAATACATTAAAGCACCTACCTGGATGCTTCTTAAGAACTTTCGCCAAACCTTCTATTATTTCTTTACAGTTTAATTTCTAGGAAAAATAAATATCACAGTTTCAGATGTTAAAACATGGATCCTTATTCCAACAAGCATATTTACTATCACATATATTTCCTAGATGAAAAGTCCACATAGAAAAGGCAGCAAGCATTAASCCAGCACATGAATTTACATTAACTGGTGACTCATATGCTCTACGTGGACATCTACAGCACACTGTGGCTACAAGGCATTAAAAGTAAAATAGGCTGGATCTTGCTCCAGTTGTGCAGAGTGCAACAAGCCAATGTGCTGCTAACAAATCCTACCTTTCCTGCGTACAGAAATCTTAAGTGAGTTATAAAACCTTAAAGAATTCTTGGATTTAAAATAGCAGATTTTATCAATTTCAAAACTCTTACCTCTGCATTTTCATGACCTTCCAAGGTCATGCAGATATCTAGATCACTGTCCCGAAATCCAAATCCATTCTTTGAGGAGCCAAATAAGCAAAGCCTGGCTTTGTCTGATCAAAAGAATAGACAAAAAAAGGTAAATTCTTTTACAGTTGACTGGTAAGTGCTTAGTATGGAATACTGCTTAACTGTGATGTGCAGGTGCCCATAAAAATGACTYTAAAGAGAGAGCTTACAGTGTCACTTCAATGGCTTCAGCTTTGATAAAGGAGGAAGCACAATACTGCAGCAATTACTTAAAGAAAGTAAGGCATAAAGGCATAAGGGTAAAGACGTATTTTATGTATTTTTTATAACTGAGTTATGTTACAGATACAATAATCATTAAATGGCATCTCTAAATGTGGTGAAATATTTTGTGGTATGTGATTGCACTTTCCTGCTTTTAATAAATCAAAATAATGTGCAGTCACCAGTACAGCTTTACCGCACAGATAAGACAGAGCTACTGTTAAATTAGCACAAGTAGTACTTTGGTTCCATTCAGAGGTTACATAAGTTGCATATTTTTCCTGTGACTAGGTAAATTTGGTCAATGAGTTTTTGTAATCATAACACACTCTTCAAGAAGACCCAAGCAGTAAGATTACAATACTTTATGGAACATTCTTTCCCAATTAYTTTGTTTACATTTTTGTTTGAAACACAGTATTACTATTATTTTCATTCTTGGAAAGCAAAATTATGTAGATAAAACAAATTCCTTCCTAAATGCAAAGAATGCATTTATCTGTTCAACTAAAATTAATGCTAGGAAAATAGATCTAACAACTATTCACAGCTTTTTYCTTAACTTTAATAGAATCAGAAATCTTAAGTGTTTCAAGGCTTTGCATCAGGTCTCAATCCTCGGCTGCTGCCAGTAAATGCAGGCACAGCCAGGGGATGAAAGTGGAATTGCCAATTCCTGGATGACAGATCAGCTATAGCAGAATGGCCTTCCACGGACTGGAATTCAGGAGACCTGGGTTTGGTATCTGGCTCTAGCACTGTTTAACACCATCTACAAAAAAAATCACTCTGCATCTCTGTGCCTTACTTCCATCACTGTAGTGAGGTATTTCTGTTTGTTTTATAAAAGGGATGTGAAGATAAACTCATTAAGATTTCTAAGACATTTAARCACGGGTGACTAGGCAACAAAAGTCTTTGGCCCATGACCAAAGCTAACACTAAACCCAACCAAACTTTCTTTCTGGCCTGACTGGAGCAATCCTGTGTCTGCATTACTACTCTGGCAGCTCTTCGTCCACTCTAGGGATGTTTCCATGGAATAGCATGAAGGGATGTTCCATGTCAAAGTCTGCAAGACAGCTTTACAAATGGAAGGAAAAGAGATGCCACTGATTTAAGCAAGGAAAATAAAATCAGATAAACCACATCTTTATGCTCTGGACAACATGACTGAAGAAAGCATTCTCAAGAACCACTATCTACCGTTACATACCATTATACTCTTTTCGAATAAATCTCTCCAAACTTGCCAGTATGTGTTCTCTGTTTTGTTGCTCAGATAAAGGAGGGGATAATTCATCTAAGTAAAAACAAATGAAAACACAGTTGTGACATTCAGYGCCTCCAAAATATTTTTCAGCTAATTAAATGATTGGATGGGATTTTTTTTCTCATGTTGGCTTATTAAATCTGTGGTTTTCTATCATTAGAGTCCTCAGGATTTTATTTCAAGACATCCAATTTTTCAACCACAAAGTGGCTTGGTGGGCATCTGGCATCCATCCATAGTTAATCCACCACAGCACCTCCAAAAGATGCCACAGAATTWGACAAGCACAAAATTAGTTTTGCCCACAGCTGGATTTCTGGGGACACCAGTAGCTTTTTACAAACCCAGTGAAAAATCCCATAGAACATCTGTTTCTTAAATCYGTTAAAAGTATCACAGCCATGGATTATCTAAAAATTAAAATAYTGATTAATTTGTAGCCTAGGGTACCTGGAACAGCTTCTTCCTCCTGAATTGTAAATAACTGTAAATAAGTTATTTAAMCCTGGAGCTTTGAATTTTTCCAGGTTACAGATCACAGTGTACAGCTGAGTACAAACACCTTTTGAACTTACCAAAACATCTTTTACACACTATATCAAGTATTTCCCGAAATCTGTCTGTCATTGGTGGTAGTGGTTTTAGATCAATTTTCTTGAAATCCTCTGGGCAATCATTTTTGGAATGTCCATCCCGTTTGCAGATGCTGCATACTATAGTTGGTGGCTTTTGGGGGGAAAAAAAGCGCACAAATGCAATTTTCCTTTTAAGGCAGTTCAGCAGACCTAAAATTTCCAAAAAACTAAGAATATTTTAACACATGAACTACAACAGAGCCTCTACAAAGAGCAGAACACCTCTCCACAAGCTGCATTTAGTTCTCCCAGTGCATAGAAGTACCTGGAAATTATACATGAAAGCAGGAAAGGGAGAAATAGCCCACAAATAACCAAAAAGAAAACCCAGGATTCTTTTTTGTGTGGAAAACAAAAAGCTTTGCATAAGATGGGGGCAACAGACAGGGGGAACACAGGGTGGTGTTTCCAGTCCTGAATAGTAGGTACTCTACAAAGGCCAGAGCTATCACCCATAACAGATTGAATCACTGGGACAATCCCACCAGCCATCCACTCTTAGTTTTACTGACTTAAACTAACGGCCCAGCTRTACATGACCAGCACTGCTTACCTTTCCTGAAGTAAAAATAAACTTATCAAACACATAATGCATTTCTTCTGTTGAGAGTTTGCCTTCCTCTTTGAGATCATGGGTTTCCAGCACTTCTTTGCAGCTGGGTGAGGTAGCTGGGGTGCCAGTGCACTTCGGCTGCGGAGATGACTCCGTTACCAAACTCTGTCTACTTTCAGCATCAGAAAGCTCAGTACTGGAATTTGTGTCATCAGGCTGATGTGCACTGCAGTTACAGTGGTGGCTGTGCTCACCCTCAGTTATACACACTGAAATTTCTAAATCATCCATCTCGTTAGGTGATTTTTCCTTTAATTCACAGCATTCATTAGAAATAAGGGATAAAGCTTCTTCTTTGTCTTCATCATAGCTAGAGTCCAATGTTGAAAGGAGCAAAGAGTCCATGTCCTGGGACGTACATCTTTTGGCTACAGCTTCTACCACTTGATTACATTCAACTTCATTCTCTGGTACGTTACATCCACTTCCTGTATCTTGGTTATCAACATTTTCCCCTTGCGGAAGGCAACAGTTTGCTACAGGCTCTTCAGATCTTGTGGATTTCTTATTATTAATTTTCCCTTTTTCTTTTTTCTTGGTATCTGGCTTGGATTTAATCCCATCTTTACTTTGTGGACATGCAAAATATTTATATGCTGTCCTAAATCGCTCCAGGATGTACTCAAATACCATCTGGCTATTTAGACTTCGTGCAACATTCCTCTTTAGTGCAAAAGGATCTAGGAAGAAAAAGAACAATTTAATTAGTAATCCTTAATTTCTACATTTTACAAAGCAGCTGAAATCCCTAAGTATCTATATGGCAGTTAAAAAGARATTCTTATGCCAAAATGCAGAATTGTATTTGGATATACTTAGAAAATGTAAGACCCACAAGCTCTTTCCGAATTCTTCCACACAAACACACCCAAGTGCAGCCATGAATGGCTGACTATCATAAATCATTCTAAATAATACTACTTAAAAAGTAAAATCATAGGTACACTGCACMCTTTTTTAATGGCAAATTTCTAAATCAGAAATGAAAACAAACACACAAAGGCAAAATAAATAGAGGCCTGCCAGAAACGTTTTTCCCTCCACTGAAGGAGGATTTGCATTTCCCTTAAGAAATTAATTTGTCTAAGAGTAACATTAAGGATATAAGGATTGTACAAACCAATCTCACCAGGATTTATTCTTAGTCCTTCCTAACGATTTCTAGATCAAACATGTTTTCCAAGCAAAAAGAGCTCCTGCATAGTTGCTATAAGTTTGCCTGGGAAGATAGCACCAAACTGAGATTCTGTTTGCTATAAACTTAACATTGGGGGAAAAAAAGGCACAAATGAAAAGTAAAAAAAAAAAACATAGAGCAAACAACACAAATAGCCCAACAATAGCAGGTGTCAGAACCAGAATGCAATCTGGTTTTCTGAAATTATTTCCCATTTCTTCCTCAATTATTTGTCCTGTCACCTCACATCCCAAATGTTGAAYAAACCCTTCCCTAGTTTTTCTAAACTCTAGCTAAAAGCAATTTCAGAAAATAATTGGGAGAGGAAATTAAAGTCACAGGAGTGATCTCAAGACCCACTACTCAACCTGTGCCTCAGGAATTCATKGCTTGATTTTCTGTTTTACTTTTCCTTCTCACTCTTCTTGTACCTTATTGACTCATCCTTCAATGYACCTCTGTACCTTATTCTCTGTCTGTATGATTCTCTTTGTCCTCTCCTTCGCCTCAAGTGTTACAGATAAGCCACTTCAGCAACATCTCTAGAAAGTGTTCAAAAGTCATTATTCATGCTTTTATAAAAGTATCCCCTTACAAGGTTTYTTAGCCTTCCTCAAATACCCAATTTTTCTGTTCTTAAGGCCAACTCAGAATGCCATGCATTGCTCTGTAACTCAGTGACTTTCCCTGTTTTTCAGACAGAAAAAAACTGTCTTTAAAGAGACTAAATAGYTGACAAAATGTATTATTTTAAAAACTTTTGTCCAGACTTCTTGTAACAGATTTTAAGTGTTAAGCAAATAAAGATGCTAATGCAGGATGACCACAGAACTGGGAAGGCATCAGCCTACCTTCAATGGCTATTCGTCTCTTAGGCCAGTTTTTATTCTCTCTGGTTAAGAGTTCTTGTACCCGTATGCTGATGACATACTCCTCCAAAGCAAATTCCAGTGTGTAAAACTTCAAAAGTTCCAACCACAGTTGCCCCAGTGAAACTTGGTGAGGGGTTTTGAATGCTAAGAGAGACTGAAAAACACGGACAAGAATGCTCAACTGCAGTAAGAAATCAACATTCCCTTTTTTTTTGTCCTGGTTCCATCCAATATCAATGTTTAAAAATAAAAAAATAAGGATAAGAGAGAATGAATGTTTTCGATGAAACAAAGCCATGACTTACAATCCCGTGTTTCTCTTTTGCACTGCTTTGGTTGTCCACYTCTGAGCTTGTTGCCTTCTTGCCACCACCTTTCTGTTGTTCAACTTTAGCTTTAYTTTCAGCTCCAACCGAGTTTTTTGCTGCACCATTTGTGGGTGGTTTGTACTCCCACCGTACAAACTCTTCATCTTCCACACCTTTCAGCTGGTGGTCATCTGGTCTCTTCGAATCAAAGCCTTCAATCTAACAACAATTAAAGTGCCTCTGAGACAAGACTGTATATAATACATATAACCASAAGTTTCCACCAAGGTAACACTGACAGCTATGGTATTCATAGCTCTCAAGAACAACAGATGTCAGAGAGAGAAATTCAGAGAAACAAAGAARAAAATAATTGCATTTTCTCCAAAACACAGATGATACAATTATACAGCCTACTACAAGGGCCTTTTAAARAGTCTTCAGAATCATCAAGCATCATCTGTGTGAGGATTAAGTACCAATGCATTTTATTTATCRTTTTCTTTGGCAAGCAAATTCTGCATTTTTATGAGCTTTCAGAACACAGAAATAATGCCAATGATTTAACAATAAGGTTATTRTATTACCAAATAACTCACCCAATTGCCCAAATAGGATGGTAAAATACGTGGTTTTCTTTGTTGAAGAAAAAATATCACCATTAAGGCAAAGGAATATGAGGGAATCCCACCTTCAGCCTGACAGTCAATGTGACAGAGCTGTAAGAAAAGAAATAATTACTTTTTTGCTGTAACACCAGCATTTTAGTTTACAACATATTTTAAAAAGGACAAATACTAAAGAAATATRAGAAACATACCCAAGTGAAACAGAAAATCCTGTATCTCAGAAACTGCAGTGGTCACGCAATGCCATGTACAGACGAAATACAAATACAAACTGCAGCAATTTATACAGTACCTTAAGGAATACTRTCTTATCATACATCATTCTTTTCAGATTCACCACATTCTTTGATTGTGGGACACACTTATGCTTCTGTCTAGAATTTCARTGTTATTGTACAGTGGCATCTCATGTATGGAGGTGGGGTGAAGTAGTGGCATGAAGATTTTTCTATAAATATATTCATGGTATATCATACACTACACTGCACACACTGCTTAAAAAGAAGGAATGACAATTATAAGTATGGAGGATAATTAAATAACTTACTCTAGCCCAGTAGCGGAAAGCCAAAACCAAGGGRATAAGGACAGGCTCCAGTTTGCCAAGTGCAGCCAGCAGGTCAGTTGTAAGGCAAGCCACGTCATTCCGAGCACTCACTTTACATGTCAAACCACTGCAGTCACAAATGTAAAACAGATAAAGGTTTAGGATTTGTGATATAGATATTTGGGGCAGAGGGGAGGTGGGGCATCACACCACCAYAAAAACATCCATTAGAGTCTCCATATGTAAGAACCTGAATTTTTTAAACAAAAGGTATAGAATGTAATTGCATCTTCTTCACTATTAAATCATCAATTGCATCTAGAACTTACAGAAGTTCACTATAGCTAAAACCATAAGAGGATTAAGAATTAGTTCTGAGTTCTGCCAATAATTAAATTGTTATCTTACACAATTCAATTGCCAACTATATCATCTACATTCTAAATATTTAAACAAGTTAATTAATACTCCAGACCTGSTGAATATTAAGRGTTGGTAAACCCACAAAACAGCTTMTCCAAAAACTTTCCTTTAGCTTCTCAGAATAATTCTTTCTATTCTGTTACAAACATAGGAAAAGACAAGCCCAGTCTTGTTGCATTTTCTTCCCCAGAGTTTCAATCCATACCTCTGGTCAGTCAAGCAATCATGTTTCATTTTGGAGGTTGCTGCTTCTTAGGAATTTACTGAAACTTCAGATGATGTGTCCTTTCTGGCAATGCATATCTTATAAAATGTTTTTAAAGCCTTGGCTTAAACTGCTGGCAAAAATTTTAAATAACTGAAAACCACTCCACTTTTCCCCCACTTAATCAAAAGGAGAATGAGCATTTTCAGACTCCTACTACCAGTGAGTTCTGTGTAGCACAGAAACAAAAGTAGCTTTCTTTCTAGATTATAYTTTTGTGTACGAGCAATTCCCTTTTAACACAAATGTTAGCTGAATGTTACAGTAACACTTCTTGTCAGGAGAGCAGGCAAGAGGCTGCTATGAACAAGCAGAGTGGCTCATTAAAAATCCCTTCCAGTCACACATACCTTTTAACATCTTTGCAAAAGACAACAGGAACTTTGGCATGGAAATCCGACTCCACATCTGAGTAGACAGCTAAGCAGAGAGGAAAAAAAAAACCCATTCTGTTTCAAAGGCTTTTATAGTTTTCCCAATTCTGTCTTCAAAATTATTATATTTATACCATGATTTTTTCAGAACAAATCAAATTAAGTGCTGCATAGCTAACCAGTAACAATAATTTCTGGTTACTTTTGATGCTCACCACCAGTATCAGACAGCCAGGCTGTGTTCCTGACAGAACAACAAGGCTACAAGTTTTAGGAGTCTTGGAATAGCTCTCACTGATGTCCATATGCAAGTGGAAAGTAGCTTTTGAGTTTACTGCTTAGAATTCCTCCCATGAAAGGTAAAACTTTGCTCTGGTATCTGACACTATTGCCCCAACTTCTGGCAAACTGAACTGGACTAATGGTGCTGCCATTCTCTTGCTGCAGTTTCTCATCTCTCACTCACACAAGCACTGACATTCACAAAATCATTCATAAAAACAACTCAGATACTTTGGTTGAAAACAAATCCATTTTTCCAAGTCTGCAGAAAAATTGAGCATCAGAACAACTAAGCAGCAGATGGAATWTTAAATAAAAATGAGATGCAACCAAAACTCACCACTGTTCTTCAAGATTTCAAGCACCTGGATCAGAACATCTGGTTGACTCATCTGCAGTGACAAAATTAAAGCAGGTTACATTTTATGTTTTATTTAAAACTACTTGGGTTTCACAACTAATAACTCTTATATCCTTCAAAAAACTGAAATCATGTGTCAGTATTAATGAAARCATTAACTGCATCTGTCTGCACCAAGAAAACAGGTAGCAGTAAACATATCAGCCAGCTTTCTTTTGGCACACAGCTTCTTTAGTCAACACTTCTGTTCTAGCYCTGCACTAACACACTCCACAAGGAYAAATAAAAGCACTTGCCATATATTCAACGATTTCAATGTCAATGCATACTACTAGAAATGGACAGCAATGAAGAATTTGRTGTCAGTATATTCCCAAGGGTTTYTGGAAGTTAAAATTTCRAAACATGTGCAAGTGCAGCAGCTGAGTGTCTATCAAGAATGTGCTGCTAATATCAYWCACTAAATATGAACCAACAACTTCAGTACCTACAGATATATCATACTGCTCTGCAGGAACTTTGTACCATAAACTGTAAATYTGGATGTGRTATCTACTTGCAAGTGATTAAACCATAAAAGGGAAAAATGTTACTTTTTTCCCCAACTTTAAAAGGGGGGGAATCAAAACCTACAAGAATTTACAGTCTGAATCATGAGCACGTGGAAGTGCACTTACCCAGAGCCAACTATTTTCATTCTGCTTCAGTATTTACTCAAAAAAAATCTAGAAAAAGCCTAGCATAAGATTGTCAAAAARAAAAYCCCAACAAAAACCACCCAGGAATTAAAGTTATCTAAAGAGCAATGAAAACTTCCTCCAYAGCACAGCTGACATCAAATCAAAGATTAGATGCTTTGTGTTATTTTAACACCATAGGCCCCAAGAGAAGATGAAGGCAACGGAATAGAAATAAATGTGGATGGCCTTGATTTAAAAAGAGTCTTAGTTAATACAAGATAATATCTACACACCTTAGGGGGGAATTTGATATCAATGTTAACATCGCTGGTCTTAAAAGCAAATCTAGTTAAACAGGAGCCATACATCCTCAGGGAACAGTCTGGAGAGAGAAAAACGAAATTATTTAACAGTTAGTAAATTAATTTTTATTTAGTGGATGATGCATACTGTGCTTTAGATACTACATGTCACAAATGGCATTGCGATAACAAACATCAAATGTAGGCATTTCCATAACACAGCATCACAGGAAAACAAATAATTCAAACACTGTAATCACCAAATGGCCAACATTTTCCATGCGGTTTTAAAGTTTTTTTGCAATGCAGCTTTAGTTCTGTTTGGTTTTAATATAAAATTAAATATGAAATAATAATAATTGTCACCATCTCAGTGTAGGATTTTATGTAYCAGCTTTTATTAACTACACCTTGATTTCACTACAGTGCTTGACCAATTATAAAATTAYTTTTTGCCTCACAGACTTTTGTATGAGGCATCAATCTGTTGATTTCATCAGCAGGATCCAGTGCACATAACTTCAAAATAATCCAGGCACAGAGCACAGTGTCCATTCAGTGTTTCAGTTAATACAGTTACTTCAAAGATGCARAACAGACCTAAACTAACTAGGAAGTACCTACTCAAAATGAATACGAGAAATGCCATTCCATTCCATAAATAATAATTTAGCCCACTTCATGATATAATTTTTGTAGATGAAAACTTTCCTGTGATGTATATTAGGGTCTCACATATTTAAATCAGCTGAAAATTGAGAGTGTTCTCAATTCCTCCCAAATCCAACACCCTGCTCAAGCAGTGAGACCTGGAGCAAGCTGCCCAGGCTGTGTCCAGCTGGGTTTTGAAAATCTCCAAGGATTGAGAGTTGACAGCCTCTCCAGGCAACCTGTRCCAGTGTTCAATYACCCTACCAACAAAGAGGGCTTTTCTTGTATATCTYCCTTTATGTGTGTTCTTACCAAACATTCAATCAGAAACATCAACWATATTATACTCTTAAAAGAGAAAATAGATCTTACATGTACATAGCCTTAAGCCTATTTTCACTACTTAGAAACCAGCCCTCTTGGAATAAAAGTCTGCATGGTTAATAATGATAATTTACAATTTCTTCCGATGGCTTTTCATAATCATAAGAATTYTTGCATAGTTCTAATGTGAGCTCAAAAGAAAATCATGCCAGAAGATCAGATGTTTTCTACACAGTGCATGAAATGAATTTTTCCTAATTTACAACTTAGGAAAACACATTCACTAAAACATAGCTGGCTTTGAAAAGGAGAATAACAAACTGTCATTTCCTATTACAGACTCCTCTTGCGTTACTCCTACACCTCCATAGAAGCTCATCAGTCCAAACAAGYCAGCCAGACAAGTAACAATAAGATAATAATTTTCCTGAGTATTTATGTAAAAATGTTAYGTAAAAAAAGCTTTGTCTTATGCGTCCCACTTTCAATGGAAAACTCACTAGAGTGCCAGAAGTTTGCACTAGGAGTCACATATTAAAGAGCAACCAGATCAGCAAAACTCTACCTGACAAACCCCACCTCTATACTCAGCACCTGATGTTTAGGTGCTTTATAAAGCATCTAAAACTAAAGCTGATCATCCTGCAGSTAACAAAATCTTTCTTACTGCTATATTTTTATAGAGCAAAGGGAAARAATAAGTTATTTCTAAAACAAAAGAACAGTATAGAACAATACCCRACTTCAATATAGATGATATAAAAAGTTTAAAACTKTTTTTTGGCAATGAGATTTTATTTTCTTCTGTTCAGATGCACTGAACACCAAAYCACTGTTAACATAAAGGCAACATCACTGCAGCTCCAGAAATCTGATTGCAAACTCCCAGTGTATTAACTACAGAAGAAGATGGGAAACCAATGCAAAGAAGCAAATGTCAAATATTATCCTTCTTTGTTATATTATCCCACCACTTTAAAGAGGATCAATAAACACATYAGAAAGAAGGACAAATAAACACAGTCATTTTTTCCTCTTTTTGTATCCGTTATTTTTTTTTAAATCAACTGCAAGTCTCTATTAAGAAGTCTGTATATATTAATATAGTATAATATGAAGATAATTTAACACTAAATGCACTCATTCACTATTAATGAAGGTATCAAAAATACATGTAAAAATAATGAAAAATTTTCACCTAAAAAATGGAGAATATTATGAATACCTGGTAAGGGCTGTTGAATAATTTTCTCCATCTCATTTACAATTTCTTGACGAATTCTGAAGTCCTCATCTGAGATGCCTTGTTCATTTGCTGCCTCGATGAGTGTGAAACTCAGAGCRGCCAACTGTGCAGTTGAGGGGGGTGGTAGGGCCCGCAGCTCATTTTCTTCTTGCTTTTCCTGAATAATTGTTGGATGATATAAATAATGGTATTTTCTGAGGAAAAGGTTATCTCTTACTACTGTACAATATTGGAACACWCTTTTTACATGGTGTCCTGACCAAAGACTTCCAAAGGCAGGAGCTCTGCCTGGCCTAACTGGCAAATACAATAGTGTGGCTCCCAGGAATGACAACAGATGCTCACTGTTTAAAACAGAGCATGTTGTTTCACAGCTGGCATATGAGGAGGAAATCTTCTGTATTCCATTCCTGAACCACATTTTCTGACAGCTCTGAAGCAGAATTCATCCAGGAAAATAAAAAGCTGTAATTGTTCCTACATAATAAAAGTAACCGAGCTGGAAAAGTCATATGGATTTTCTCGGACGGGGTTGTACTTGAAGAAAAGATATCAAAGGTAGAAAAAACATTCCTTGCTCCAAGGAAATTTTATAAGTTGAGTCCCATTACTGCTTAAACAGCTGGTGCCAGAAATTACTGGATTTAGTGCACTCTATCCAATAGCAAGAACATGTCAGATGCATCGAGKCATTTGGGGCTCGAGTCATTTGGGACTAAGTACAACAACCCCTTGTTTCATGAATTCATCAACTAAATGAAATATATGACTGAAATAAATAATAACCATAAAATAGTAATGCATTAAGAAAACACAGTACAGTATGAAAATATTTGTTTAGTTCCAGGCTGCATCTCTCAACACTTCTGTTCTTATCTGAATAAATTTAGTGTAAGAAAGAATAGGGGCATTTCCAAAGGGCTCTGGGAATTTTTTATCGTCACTACCTTAGGATTTTTCTTGAGTTGGGAAACCACAGCTACTGCTAAGCTTATTTTGATTGTCATGTATCTCACAGAGCTATAAATAGGAGCATTTTATAAAGTAACATTTAGRCAGTTACATAGGTATCACCATAATGTTGTGCACAGCATAAAGCTATTTGGGGCAAGTGTTAAAAAGTGAAACTGCTCCCTGTCCTCAGAATACCATTCAGTGCTAAAGAAACCTCATTCCTCAATTCTCATCTTCATGCCCAGATGAAAAGCATGGTAAGAGTTCATAGATCAATCACAGGGCTGGCTCATTTTTTTTCCATGGTGCAATTTAGCAGACAGTAAGAGAACCAGAATCCTTTACAAATAATCACTGACCATAATGTAAAAATGTTACTTTCTGAGATTTAATGGATTTATGGCATTTGGAGTCTTCCAGGTGATGACTTGCACATATTTTAGAATTAGAGCATTAATGAAAAACAGAAGTATGGCAAGAAATACATGGAAACATGAGAAAGTAATTTGAATCTTGGGGAACAGCTCTAGAAACAGTAATTTTAACCACCTAAATCACAAAATCCAACATGCTGGGGAATCTGTAACTCTTCGTCAGCATTTACAAAAATGAGCTGGCAAGAAATCCATGCACCTTTTTTTGGATTTCCTGCACGTAACAGTTCTTTAGAGCAAACCATAGCACCGTGGTATCTGATAAGGAAACTGCTTTTCTTTTGTAAGCTTTAGAATTGTTTTCATATTAAACACATTAATAAAGCCGGGTGATGATGAGTGAACTGAATCCCTCCCTCCTGTAACGCTTCTAAACTTTACCTCCAGTCCCTGGAGGTCTTGCTACCAACAGCATTATTTTCAGGAAATAGAAATATTAAAYATATTTATATATAACATGTATTTTTCACCTAAGTTACCTTGCATTCTGTTACTAAAAGTATGATGAACTGCCCACTACTCAGAGACACTAATTCGGAAGYAATGTCCAAAAATGTCCTTTCCTCTCTGCCTGAACAGATCAGATCATCAAGCCCTTCCTCTCAAACATAAAACAGAAATTTGTGGATCTCTGCTCAGCAAACAAACTTTCACCTAAATGAACATGACCAAAGAAAAAAAACCACATTAAAAAAAAGTTATCTTAATGTAAAAAATAAAATTAAAAAACAGAGGAGGAAAAGAAAGAAAAAAAATAKCCAAAATTTTGTTAACTTACCATTATATTTTTCTTATGACGTTTTTCTTTAATATGTTTGTGAGCTCCCTGGATATTTTCAATGTGGACTAAGCAGAGCTTGCATAGATACTGACAGTTGGTGTATTCTGGGGAGCGCTGTGGAAAAATGGCCATAGATTAAAACAAATGTTTCTACCAGTGCTGCCTGAAAAACTCAATTCTTTCATTCATAAACTGTATTTAACTATTATGTAACACTTTTAATGTCAAGGTGCTTTGCAAACATTAAGCAATCTTCAAAAAACACAGAAGGAATGGATTTTTACCAGTATGAAAAGAGGTGAGAGAGAGGGAAGGAAGTGAGATAACCTGAATATTACATTTCTCAGTAAATTTTAGTGAGGTAAGATTAAGGCTGAAGAGTTTATGCTTCTTAAGGATGACCTAAAGGCCAGTAAAGCCATTCCCTTGTCAGGTGAAGCTTTTAATAACTGGATTTATTAAATCTCAGCACCTCCCCTCCTTTCTCTGATGAGGCAATGGCAACAACTCATCCCATCTCCAGCTCTGGGTTGTGGCAATGGGGGTGTCTGGCACAAGAGGGGACACCATGGAGTTTATTCAGCCAGGAAACCATTAACACCTACGGGGTGGAAAGGAGAAAGGACCAACCCTGCAAAGAGAAGGGGTTGTTCCTAATACTCCACTATATTTGTCTCATCCTGCAGTTATATTTTCTTGCTGAAATGGATCACAGCTACAGAGATCAGAAACCTTTCGATAAGCTCACTCCAGAGACAAAAAGGGCCCAAAAAACCAGTTTAGTTTTGCTCCAGACTTGTTAGCATGTTTCCAGGAACTGCTATCAGTTAAAACTGGGAGAGAAAAAACCTACTTTAACATTTTCATCCTAATTCTAATACATCTATATTTATTAAAAGCAAAAAGTATACTGAAAACACCAGATGTTTAGACAGTGACACCACAGTGAATGAACGCCATTTTAAGATGCTAAGGTGGACCACAGAGCAATTAAAAAAATTTGACTTACCATATGGAAACCTAAACCTGTTAAATTTGGGCAAGTTTTTCCACTTGCTGAGTTTGATCTTTTGCTTTTGGAAAAAAAACCCAGTCTGATACTCTCCAACTGTAGAGTAAATATCAGTTTTAAATACTGCTTTAATAATGAAATTCATTATGCTTTTTACCGATTTTCTTTATCCCTATTTTCTCTAAGAGGGGTACCTAGTAAGATGAAATTCAACATCCATTTGGAAAACAACTTATAGACAGTTACACTTGGCTACCTGGGAAGATTCAAGTATTTGATGCCTGATGACTGAAGTAGATAAAAAATATTTTACCACTCTTACATAATAAAATGAATATCAGCAATAAAAGCATTTTTAAAAAAAWTTATTTCTTTACAATACTGTTCTGAAGTATCATGTCAATAGATATTGCCAGGAAGGCTGAATCATGTAATCACTTTTATTTTGCCTTTATTATGGAGACTTTTGAAATCATCTAGTTATGCCTAATTCCAATGAAAAGGGCAAAAACTCAAAATAGCAAGACAAAAAAGTTACAGATTACTACTCATGTAAGTTAGATGCATTCAAATATGCCAGGTCTCAGGAAATTTGTCCTCAGATATTCAAGAAGCTCATCTTTAAAAGAGCCAGTTGTATTTKAAAGAACTCACAGAGAATGGGAAGGTTCCAGATCATGAGGAAAGAGAAACTTAAGAATATCTTTAAAGGGCTAAATAAGACAAGCCAAGGAATTAGAGACCAGTCAGAATTAGCATTCAGAAAAATACTCTAATAAATTATTAATAAGCACATAGGGAAAAACCAGGTCATAGGTGACAACCTGATCTGCTACAAACAAATTGCACTAACCCAATCTTAGGGTGGCTTTTTTAAAGATAGGTCATAGCTCTTGAAGAAGCAGCAGCAAATTTTTGTCACTTGTCATAGTATCAGTCTCAAAAGGAGACCATAAATATGATCCAAATAAAGAACAGTAAGGTGGGAGCAAAACTGCTGAGATATTTGTCCTCACAGCACCCATACCTAAAAGTATGTGCCAAGGATTTTTCACCAGGGGTCCTTGTGAGGTCAGAAAAATACACACTTTTGTTGAAGAGTTGGGAAATGAAATCATTTGATTATAAAAGATATTAACTTGGGAGAGGATACAGAAGATGTAAAATGACAAAAAGTTAGAGAAATGGAATAAATAAGCTCCAACCAAATAACATCACAGCAAAATATCATTCCTCCTTAGGTATTACCAACTGCAGAACACACAGGGCTGGGAACACCTGAAGGAGCAGCTCTCAAAAAAAGGCTATGAGGATCAGAGCTAGTCAAACTATAAGCCAACATCCTACTGGTGCTAAAACAGCAGAGAATCTAAACAAAAATGCCATATTTCAGAGAGATGAAGTCAGCTTTCCTCTTTATATGTAAGACTTCAGCTGAAATTGTACATCCAATGTTGAATAYTGGTTATATGATGGAGTCTAAAGAAAAGTACCAAGAATGAACCAGGAACTAAAAACCCGCAAGAACAATGAACAAAGAGGGCCTAAAAAAKACTTGACTGCAGGAATGGTAATGATTTTTCCATGTGCAAAATGGTGTGAAAAAGAAGTAATAAACTTTTCGTTATTTTCCTAGGACAGTATATGAGGGTTTAAAATCCTACAAAAGACATTTGCATTAGACATTAATAAAAACTTCTGGGTTACCTACACTGACTTCAACATTTGTTTCACTAGAGATAATATCAAGAACAATTCAGATGAACATTTTTAAGCAGTCATCTTCAATATAGGGACTGGTGAGAAGTAATATACCAAAAAAAGCTCAAGGTTCTTTTCAATCCTGGATTCTGAATTTACAGGGAACCAGACTTAAATCTTAGAAGATAAAACCTTACTTAAGTGCTGGAACTGTAAACCTTCATATCTAGAAAATWAAAAATACTGTTCTGCAAAGGCTACATGTGGAACAAAGGGAACATTAAATTTCCAATCCATATCATCTGCCAGGATGAACAACTAGTCAACTACTGGACACAGTATTTTAGACCAGAAAGTGACTCATTATTAAAAAGAAAGAAACAGAGGCAGCAGGCAGTAGTAGAAATACCACCCAACCAGAAATATGGTGATGATAATGGAAGAGGACACACATTTTCTTTTTTATCTGATAAATAACCCAACCTACTTTTTCAAGTCGGGAGATATAATCTCTTTCCAGACGTTCTTCAGCTTGTTTCAATCCTAGTTGCTGTTCAACTGTCAGATTAGATTCATCAAGAACACCAGTGTTTTCTAAATAATCCGCTTCCAATGTATGTTCTTTTGTTGATTCAGAATTCTTTATTTTACCTAAAGCAAGCAACAGTTACTTTCTTCAGAGTAATTCAAGGAGAGGAAAAGTGAAAATTAAAGAGTACAGAGCAGTTAAAAACCAGACACAAATTAGAGCTACATTCCAGTTTTTTGTCCAAAGGCTGGCCAAGATCACCTTAAACATTAAAATTGTTCCAGTATGTTAACCAGTATTTTAAAAAGACTTCAGAGACTAGTCTGCTACTAAGAATGCCATCAAAAGGACAAAGAAAAGGTAGATTAATTTTATGTTTCAGTCAAATTCACAGTCTCCTAAATTCTTCAAGGCAAGAAATGGTTTTGTTTGTCATGCCAAAGAGAGTAAACAAGATCCTGATGCCTTACTGYAACAGAAACAATAAATACTAGCCATGAAATTATTTTACACAACACATTTTGTTAAGGAAGTAAGTCACAGAACTGCCTCAAAGACATTCACCCAAATGACCTTAGAGAGCCAGTCAGCAGGCACTCCCAGGCCAGCGTCTGGAAGCTGCTGCAGTTACACCTGAACGCTCKGTGACACCTCACACCCACTGACAGCAGCCCCAGAACGCTGCTGCTCCCAAACACAGCTCCGTGCCACAGGGCCAGTTCCTCCACATGCCTATGGATTGGTCACAGGCCACTCATCTCTACAAACATCTACAGCAAATTATTCCAGTCGATTTTACACAAGCAAAAGTGAGGGTTATTTGTGCTTTGTCTTTTCCTTTTTCTTTCCTTTCAAACGAGATTTGTGCCCCCAGACTAGCAAGGAATCAAAGCTGAGTTAAGTTTTCAAGTCCTGGTTTCTCGCTAACAGATGGTCCCCACAGTACATAATGGTGGTCTACAAAGAGCTGACTGATCACAGGATGCTGCCATTTCAACTAGTTTTTCCTGTTAAACAATATTAAGACAGCTAAAAAAAAATACATACTTTATTATTTTCCTTGTATTTCCATATAAGCAACTGCTGTAGTTGTGGAAATACTTCAAACGGAAGGTGAATACTGGCATGGCATCCTTAAAACAGCATTTTTATTAAAGAAAAAAATGCTTTCTAGAGAAGTGTGAAAAATCCTGAACTATGGAATTAACCTGGTGAGACAAAGCTTGATCAATAGATTTAATTTGAACACTGAAAAATATGTGTAAGAATTGCAMACTCATAAGGGCAACCACTGATGAATGACATGTATTGCAGAGCTCCCTAAATCAAGAAAAATGCCTCTCAAAGCCTATTCTAAACATATTTAGTAACGRAAAGAGCAAAACAGTCACAGAAAAAAGAAGTAAATATTTCTTCCTTACCTATAACAAAAACTTTTCTTGCTTATTTTTCCCCTGATCTTTCTGAAAAGCATTTACTGGCATTTCCCTAAGTGGMAATGATATTAGGAAGGGTTTCCCTTTCATAAGACACTATATTCACAAAATTGCCTGAAACCCACACACACTAAGTAGCTTACAAAGATGTTTAGGTCTTAGACATGAAAAAAAGGACAGCTATTAGCATAATCTCTTGTTCTCTAAGCAATATGCTTGTATTAACATTATGTTCTCTCTTATTGCAACCAGCAACTCAGTACATGTGAAAAAAATAACACGAACAGAAACATCTCAAAGCCCATTTCAGACTGCCAGCAATTACACCAGAAGAAAATGGAATAAGGCAGTGTTAACTAATACTCACTGAAGTCATCAGGCTTATGTTCCATTTTCCTTTGATCTGCAGCAGTCTTACCAGGATCACCAGCCTGATCAACACTAGTCTTCAAAGTATGAACTCCCACTGGATTTTCCAGCACCAGTTTCCCTTTCTGTGTAGCTGTTAAGCTTTCCATACTAACCCCATTCCCAGAAACATGGGAGCCTGCAGAGTTTTCTCCCACTGCTTGGGCTTTTGTCTGTTTCAGGTTTTCCACTGCTGATGATACATTAGAAAATTTTTTTGCTTTTCCATGACTTCGATCCTGAACATTTGATCCCGTATCTTTAGTTCCAGGAATACAACTATTTACTTTGCATGATTTATTTTCTCCTTGTTTTTCGGAACAAACATCATGTTGTTTACTTTTTTTGCTGCTGTTCCCACTTGGAGAACTTCTCCCAACATCCTTCACAGATTTGTCATTTCTATTATGTTTATAATTTTGATTAATTGGAACTTTGACTGTTTTGCCTTCCTCACAGACAAGACGGACAGACTTCCTTGGGTCATGATTTCCATTCTTTGAGCTCTTGGCCTCTTCCATTATAGTGAAGACCTGCTTCTCCTGTCTCTTGAGACCACTTGAAGTGCAATTCTTCAGCAATTTGCAGTTGATTTTAAATCCTCTGTGCAGGCAAGGATCGTAGCTGATTGTCTACTGAAGAAATAATGATAAGACAGTTTTAAAATTAAGGAAAAAAATTTAATCTCTACGTAGACAGCACATTAAATAAACTTCTCTAAAGGAAGGTGTAAATACAAATTATTATAGGAAGCATATTCCCCCCACAGGCATATGWGCATTTTCATAATACATTTCATATTAAAGTAAAATTCATGAAAATTTTGATCATCTTGATTTGCATTTAAAAGATGAGGGATACGAAGAGACAAAAAATGGCAGAACATGCTTAAAAACACTCAGTGATAAACCTGCCAACAGCTTGCTTTTTTCTATCCTTCCTATTTCTGGCTTTCTGAACAAAAACAAGAACCAAGATGTCTGCAACTACACTGGGAAAGAAAAAAAAGAAAAAAAATTAACACATCTAAAAAATACCACTCAATTAACACACAGCTCAAATTAGCCACTAGAGAAAACTWATTCAGTTTCCAGAAAGCCAGCTCCATTTTATTAACTGATTTAAAAAAACATTTAGGACATAGCTCAATGTATTAATAATAAACCTGATCAATCACCTGCACCTCCTATTCTCATATAAATTAACTGCCAAGAATTAAGTAAGGTTTTGCTTAGTAAAAAAACACCACAAWTAGTAAATATTTTGGTTAGCTGCAGATTCACTTTAGTCATCTAAACCTCAGCCCTTTAGGTGGTATATGATCATCTGAGCTTTATGTTGGAGACAATTCAAAGGTTGTGTTTCCAATGGGAGGAGGTTAAGCATGAGTAAGTGGATCTGTTTGTAAGGAATTTTATTAATATAGAAAATGAAGGCAAGAATCTGTACAAGAACTTGGATTCTTTTTCTAATAACATCGAGAAAGCAAYTGAAAACTAGGAGAATGAAACATTACCCATAGAAGAAAATTAATTTTGGAAAATTATAGCAAAATAGAGAGTGCAGAGTTTCTCTCTCCCCTGTCCAGCTGCAGATTTGGTAGGTAAATGCATGATCCATGGACATTTCTGGGGTTTAGAGAACCCATGACTTATCATTCAGTGAAGAAAAGAAATAATAGAAAAATCTATGGATTACAGCTATTACAAGTACTTTGCACTTTAATAAAAAGAACCAGAATGAAGGATCAGATTAAAATGTCTGCTTTAAAAAAATAAAACAAAAAACCTTTCTGAATATTATCAGTATAAAATACAGTAAATTTTTTTCAGGCTATATAATACAGTTACTATTTCTCTCACTTTCRAGAGACACAAATCACGAAAAACTTCAGGACATAAAGCATGTACTAAAAATAGTTCTCTTAAGTCTCTATTGATGTAATTGAAAGTACATATCTTTCGAAAGTGAAAATCAAAGAACCAAACAAAACCCACAGGAATTTTCCTGAAGATGCTGTTAGCATCATATTCTTCAGTAAAATACAAAACCTGCAGAAGAAAAAAAATCTGTATTTCTAAATTTGTTCCAATGGCTAAGTACTTTATCTCACAAATATATTCAGTTAATATTGCAACTATTTTCTACGAAAGACTGATTGCACCTTGCTCTTACTTYGAGATCAAGAATCACAGAGATTAAGCAATATTTGCCTTTGGGCTGTAGCCAGTCTTTCCCATAGCAATTCTTATCAAAAAGCAGCAGGAACTGCTGCCCACCTGTATCAGCACTGCTGAAGCCTCAGGGTGGTACAGAGAGCCCAAGGTCCACCCAGGTTGGCTAAATTCAAGTTACTCCAATCCCTGAGCACCAGTATAAAACTCTGCTCTTGAGACTGGTGAGCTGTTACAGCTCTGTACAGATGCCACTGTCTTTAAACTCTGCTGGGGGTTTGGTTTTTAATTTCATGTAACCAGAAGAGAAAAGTAGGACTTTTCAAATTCTAAACTAATCACGCGTTACTTGTTCAACAAGAGGGGAGAAAAACTTCCCAAACCAAAAAAAACCACCAAACCACAAAAACACACATCAATTCCACCTTCACTTCTGACACCCACTTCTCCCTTCAGCTGCGGGCCAGACCACACCAAGGCCAGCTCCAGGTTCAGTGGAAAGAGGGTCAGGGCAGCTCCAGCTCCAGGCAGAGCCAACACCACCCTTGTCCAAGCCGGTACTCACTGCCACTCCTGGGGCTGCTCCCTCCTGTGCGCAGCTCTGCCGGGAACCAAACAGGAAAACCAATCCAGTTTAACATAAAGCTGGCACCAGGCAGGAGGAGAGGAGGAGCACGGCTGGTAGTAACAAACAACTCGTAGGGTGGGGACAACTCCTGTTGGCACCACTTCCAGATTAAAGCTACCATGAAACTCTGGCATTGGAGGAAAAGTGGGGCTGCATTTTGTCCTGGTTTCTGGACATGTCAAGTTGTTGGTCATACTTTCGGAATAGTTTTTAAAAAAATCTGCAAAAATTATYCAAATTACTTGATCTTGTCCATCAATAAAATATACAATTATATATWTAAAGAGAATATATAATCTTTAATSAAATGTACAAATGTGATGGGGAAAAGCAACTAAGGAACTGCTCGTAAAATCTAGAACCCAGCTAATAAATTGAGTACTGTGATAGTGTTACATATCAAGAGAGTGAACATAATCAAGTGTAAGTAGATAATGTTAAAAAACCACAGCTATAGTCTTTATTCCTAAGAAATATGAATGAAGAGAGGTCATGGCATTTCATAAAACAAGAATATTCTGTACTAAAATTAAAAAAAAAAAAAAAAGTTAGGAATTCCACAATGAAATGCAGAATCTAAAATGCAAGTACAATAATGTTGCTGAGCTTTGGGCTTTCTCTTTCTTTCCTTTTGATCTTTAATACTAAAATAATTTAGCAAACAAAATAATTTAAAGTGCTACAACATACTCAACAGCAACCAAATCAACATCTCACAAAAAACTGCAAAGTAAACCAGCTAATAAAATTTAATATGAGAAACAAAACAGAGAACTYTCCTAAACCCAGGACAGATACAAAAAGATCCTCCTCTGTCAGGTATCAACCATCTACATATGACACAGAGGGAAATGGGGAGAGGGAAAGGAGTGCCTCTGAAAAAAAAATAACATGGTTGGAAACAAAAAACACTGGAGTGGAGTGAATCAGTGCTGAGGTGGCATCTTTCTGGAAACCTGGATGGCAAACCTTATTCACRAGTTCAGGCTCATACCAAATTGCCAGACCTGGAATCAAAGAATAATTTTCTCCCTGCAAGGCTGGCAACAAAATCAGAGCTTTYTGCCTGCTTCTGCAAAGCGGGGTATGATTAACCTGTTGAAAATATTTCAGCATATTTCATTTATTCAATATCCCAGTGTTACAAGGGACTTGGTTTCCTCTGCTTTGTGAGTGTACGGTGCCAGTTACTACTCTGAAATCTAGCTCAGCTCTTGGCTCTTTTTAGAAAAATTATCTGGCTGAAATACAACAGCCTGAGGTCAGACAAGATACTATTTRACTTGAAACTCCAGAAAATTATTAAATCTATCCGTACCTTTAGCAACCAAATTAAAAACACTTATAATCGRCTTTGATTAGTATTCATTTTAGGCTCACAAACTGAAGAAATGAAAACGTTTCACTTTCATTTCTGCCAGTTTCTTTTGTTTCCTCCCCCTTGCAGACCAGCATTAGAAAATTCTGCATTTGAATTGCAAAGAATAGGGTAAGGCTTACTTCCAAACAGGGGGAAACCACAAAAAAAGTCTCAAGATATTTCTACCCATTTGTCCTTCCACTTCTTCCCCTCAATTTGTTCTATGTATTCAACATACATTTTGGGTTAGATTTTCACATAGCAGGGCCTCCTCAAAGACGAAGGCCAAGTTAAAACTGTGAGCTCTTCCATTGAGAATTGCTCCTTTGCAAGGCATTTATTTTTTAATCATTTCATTAGCAGCAGAACTGACTCTACCTGGTTTCCTACACATTCATTTTGTGCTCCTCTGTCACACTCTCRATCACAGCCCCTTGGGCAAGCAGGGGAGACGTGCTGGGGCTGGAGGAATATCCACCCTGTCTGGTTTGTAGCTACTCCCTGCAAGGAAATGGAACTTCCTCCTGCTTTCCCCTCAGAAGACCTCTCCTCTGCTGAGGCGTAATTGTTCCAGAAAACAAGCAGAAACTTAATGATCCTTTGACATTACTTCAAATATATTCTAAAATATGGTCCCAACTGGCTGAAATGTCCAAAAGTAAGGACAMGAGCAGAGAAGAGCAACTAAAGGGAAAGAGAACAGGCTTGTAAGTTTTGTTTCCCTGGGGAGTACTAGATAAAATATAAACAGCAAAAGTACTACAAACATAAGTGTTATCACCCTCTTYCTATAAAGCATTCCCTCCTTTGAGATAGGGAGACTTGTATTTTATCCAAGACCTGCTTTTATCTCTCCCATTATGATTGTCCTTAAGCTCAGATCTCCCAGCCAGCCTTCCAACAGTAAGTGGGGTGATTAACCTCAGTGGCCCCCCCACCTCATTACCAATATAGCCCAGCTGAACTTCCTCAACAAAAACAAAAGGAAATTCTGCAAACAAAGGTTACAGCCTCAATCACAAACAATAGGAAAGGTTGTCTTCTGCATTATGCTCAGACTGCAGCACAGGTAATGTCTACAGACACCCCTAATGTGCTGGGGAGGGGAGCCTTTCCTGGACTGTTTAACTACCTTAGGCCCATTTTTCTCTCTGAGAACTTCTGTAAATCATTCAAGCCTCTCCTACGTTCTTTTTCAATTGTTAAAAAAATGTGATCACACAATTATGTCTTATTTATGAYGAACCAGACATAACTTAGAACAATCTACTACCACGCTTGATGTTTTTCCAAAGTAYTTAAAACTAAAACTATCAGAGATTACTGGCCACTAAAGCGCCTCAGGCTCCACCGGCACTAAACCCATCGGTATTCTTAGTAACAAACATAAGTGCTACATAGTGTTTCAGAACTCCCTCTTACTACAGGATATAAAATTTATCCTAGTAAGTGCAATACTACCAAAATCTATCTGGAAGGAAGTCAGCACAGTGCACACAAACTTTAACACACAAATCAGGGATGCAACAAAATTGAGACTCTGGGCTCGGTGAAGATAAGGAACTCGGTAGGAAGCTCTGACACTGTATTTACAATGTGGAAGACTGAAAACCTCTAAGGAATGATCATTAGATAAATAACTGTGTGAGTGTGTGTGTGTGTGTATCTATCTATCTATCTATCTATCTATCTATACATTTAAAAATAAGTAACACTGTAACAGGATGATACCTGTATTACAAAAGTACTGCTGAATTACTGAAGTAACAGGAAAGGCTCCGGTTGATACAAAACTTAGTAACACATATAGGTGCGAATATCTTGCAATAAAATTATGAAATAAGCAAAATACGCTGGATGGGAGATCCATAAGGGCTATACTTGTTACAGATTACTCTGCATTGACTCACTGTTTTTTCTACTGCACAGTATGACTCACTGAGAAGGTGAGAAAAACCAACGTCACCCAACGCCAAGAACTGCCACTTTCTGACCTTACTACTTCTGCTGCCTCCCCTTCCAAGCTCGGGTGAGCCATCCTCTCTCAGTCACACCAGCTGAGTTACAACAGTTTCCCCTACCTCTCTATTTCATATAGGCTCCTCATGCTTTCATACATTTTGGTTCTGTTCCTATGTTTTACTGCAACAGTCCWTTACAGCTCAGACTCAACTGCAGCAAACACTGAAGCCAGAGAAGGGGCAGCACCTGCCCCAAATCTCACCAAAGATCATATATGCTGTACCATACATGCTGGGACCAGATGACTGGAACTGACACAAGGGAGCTCTCACTTCAAAAACAAACACACACAACATTAGTACAAGKACCCGTGTGGAGGCTGGGAAAACACAGCACTGCACCAGTTCAGAGCCTTTCAGAGGCTAAACTGGCTTTCAGAGGCCTCAACTGATCAYGAAACTGGTTTWAATGGCAGCCACACACTGRAACCAATTTATTAATCTTAACCTTAACTTCTACTTATGCTCAGTGCTTGTGTTAAATGAAAATACAACAGGATATTTTGTGGCATAGAAGCTTATCTGGATCTCGTATTTAAGGAATAGTGAGCCCTTCACCCAAACTGGAATCCTTGAGGAAGGACAGTCTTTGAACTACTTGGTACCAGCTGCAAACCAGTTCACAAACCACAGCTACAGCAAACAGATCTCCTACCAGTATCCTCATGCCTGTTCACCAGGATCCAGCACTTTCACTACTGAAACAAACATGCTGAAAACCACGACTYCAGGAAAGCTGTCAAGAACACAGCCACACTCACTGGACTGAGTCACAACWGTTTGTAACACGAAACTGATTCCAGACTGTGTCAAGCTCTGCTGACACYAAAAACTAATATCTAAAAGTTACTTCATGCTGGCAATAGTATTTCATGCATCAACAGAAGYGAAAATAAAATCTAAKGACATCTGATAAATWGRGTTTTTTCAAAGATTTGCTGAAACCTTAGAGCAAAATTACAAACCAAGGATACAGTATGAGTATACATGAATATACGCATGCATTTCTGGTGAAAATTGAAGAGTAAAAATTGCATTAATGTGTGTTGTTACAAAACTTAGGTAATTTGCCTTTTGTATTTCTAAGTTTAACAATTTATCAAGCAATATAAAAAGCAGTATTAATGTGCCAAAAGCACCAGAAACGTTGACTTCCACTGGATTGCTTCTATTGTGCAAATTAATCCACTAAGCAAATTACAGGATCCTTCTTTCTATGACTTYTCAGCACCAGTCAGTACCAGTATTGCATTATTTCACTAAAATAGTAATAAAAATAAAGTTAATTTAGTAGAAATGCTTTGTAAAGTTTCAAAAGCCAGAATGACAACTAGAAAACAGAATATACTCTCAGCCAGTCAAACTGCCTTASAGTATCAACACAAATGCAACAATCCAAAACCATTACTCTGACAAGCAGATCCACAAGACACTTAAGAAGAGCTCCTCAGGAATCACTTGCTTTCAAGTAAAACACAGGAACCCTGCTCCCCTTTTCCTCCCCATAGCAGCAATTCCTTCAGAGGARGAGCCAGATAAATGCCCTGCACAGTGCAGGTGCAGTGGTAAAGAAATCCAGCAGTTTCTTTACCACTGCAAGCTGAGGTATGAGAGAAAAGTCCCAGCTGTCCTCTGTGCAAGAACAGAACACAGGAGGAACTTTCTGATCCCTCTTGCCTATCTTCTGGGAACATATCCCAATGTATGTTCTGGGAAAAGGTAATTTTATCACAAAATTAATTTTATAAAGGTTTTCGCTAAAGTTAAGTAGAAAAATGATTAAAAAAAGCTCATTGCAAAATTGGTGTTTGTAAAAGAGACCTCTTACTCCTAATATAGCATGTTCTGCCAAATCCTGTAATTAAGTCATAGTTCCATGGCTGGYTTACTTTTCTTATCACGGAAATAATTATGTCATAACTATCTGGGGTCAGACTATCCAAAAAGCACCTACTGAAACCAGGAGTACAAGTCAAAACCAGAAACAACATGTATCCTCTATTTTCAAGCAAATGCAATGACCCCTGTATCCAGGGCACGGTGMTCAGGAAGCCAAGTGACGTGGAGGTGGCATGGATATAAAAAAAATATTAGATCCATACTTAGATACAACTATCTTTTTAATGTACTAATCTCTACCTTAGCCTAAATCCGATTATATTGTTTCTCTGTGTGTTACGAGCTCATCCTCCTTTGATATACCCAGAAACAACCTTAAAAGCCAGGAGGCCTCAGGTAATATGACACATTCAGCCAACTGGCAAATTACAACATATTGCAAAAGCAGCAAAGTCGTTCAGCTGTATTTGTATACAAAATAAGCCAACAAAAGAGCACAACCACGTCGGCGAAGGGATGCCTGGGTATCACTCCAGGCAGATCGTAATCCACGGAAAGGAGAAGCTCCCACGGCGGAGTGGGCACGGGGCACTTTCCCCGCGGGCCTCGCCGACTGCRGTGGTCTCTCCCCCCGCAATATTTAATATCACAACGGTTTGTTGTGCGAACAACAAACCGCACGCAGCAGCTCCAGCCCGGATGCGCCCCCGGGGGCGGCCCCGGCCCCCCGCTGACCTTGGGGCGGCCCCCACACCGCGGACCCCCGGCGCTTCCCCCGCCCGGGCGCGGGGCCCGAGGCCGCCACGGGCCGTCGAGGCGGGGCAGGGCTGGGGCGGGGGGCGCCGGCGCGGACAGGCCCCCCCGAGCCCGCCTCCCCCCGGGCCGCCGCCCCCGGCCGCGGGGAGCCCCAGGGCCCCGGTACCTGTGTGCGGCGCTAGCGGAGCCGGCGCGGCGCCCCCGCCATGCCCGGCTGCGGCTGCTGCAGGCCCCGACGGCAGCGGCTCAGTCCGGCCCGGCCGCCATGTCAGCGGCGCGGTGCATTGTGGGGCGAAGGCGGGCGGGAGCGCCCCGAGGGCGGCGGCGCTGCGGGGCGGCGGCGGCGGCGGCGGGGACCGAGCGGGGCACGATGCCCGCACCGCCCCGGCCCTGCTGGGCACCCTCCCGTGCCTCAGAACCTYCCCCTTGCTGAGGGGGCGACGCGCCCCCCTCCCCGTTTCCTCCAGCGTGCAGGGCCTTTCTCCCCCAGTGCCACAGCGGCAAGCGGGGATGAGGGAATAAGCAGCATATTTTTCCTTAAATTCCGCCCCCCCCCCCCCCCCCCCCCCCCCCCCCCCAGCAATCCCAGTGTTTCCCCTTGTTTCTCTTCCCAGGCCTCTTCCTATGCATAGAATCAGCAAAGTTGGAAGAGACCTTTAAGATCACCCAGTCCAACCGTGCACCCAGAAGTGCCACAGTGTCCCCACAGCCACTAAAGCACAGAACCCAGCGCCAGCCAGGTCCAGACGCCTCCTAAACACCTCCAGGGATGGTGAYTCCATACGGCAACCTGTTCAGTGCCCGACCACCCTAACAGGGAACATCTTTTCTCTTAGTATCTAATCTCAATCTCCCCTGTCTCAGTATAGAACCATCTCCTCTGGTCCTTTCCCTGCAAGCAGCAGAAGGGGCCGGCCCCTCGCTATACACTCCTGTCGGAGCTGTGGAGAGCGATGAGGCATCAGCTCCTCAGGCCCTGTGGAGCAGATTAGGGCTCGATGGAGCCTGGGCTTTGGTCCCCCGGCCCCAGGGCTTCCCCTTCTCCTTCTGTGCTCTCTGAGAAGGATGGGAGCGCCCTGGAGACCTGGGGAAATTACTCCAGGCTCCCTGATCTTGGCTATGAAGGTGGCCCCAACAGCAGCCAGGGACAGTGGCTTAGGCAGCGTGTCTGCTGGCAGATCTGCAGGTCTCAGGGGAGAAGAGCYAGCCTGCCTGCTCTTGGCAGTGCTGGACGGTGACCTAAAGGCACTGGCAAGTGTTTGTCTGAGGCAAATCCCTCTGCGATCCAGTACTACCCCTTCTTGGCAGTGAAACGGCATGTTGTTGGCACTTCCTAGCCCAGGCTAAGGAGGCCTTTCCAGGAAAACAAGGCAAGCAAAAGATTAGTGTTGAACTACTAAAGGGGTTCAAAGGAAAGTATGAAAAGTAATAAGAACAGTAGTGCTGGAAACACTACCTCAGGCAGTCCGTGTAGGTAAACAAAAGTTGCAAAATCTGTAATACTGGATTCTATAAATACTGACAAGACATACTTCTGAATGTATTGTGAAGTCAGCAGAATCCTTAGAGGTAACCTGCTTTTTTTTTTTTTTTATTTTTTTGGTTCACTTGAAGTTCACTCTTTATGAAATTAGGACTGGGTAGCTCAGGGTATTGCTCATGGGATGTAGTTCAAAGGTTTCACCTTTAGGGACATGAACCTTTCCAGGGCAGCAGTGACAGAAACAGCAGTGCTGCTGAGGGGACAGCTGAGGTTAACTGGCTGGTGGTTCGAGCCAGTCCTATTTGACAAAGACTTTTATGAGGTTTAGTAGGCCAAAGATTAAATTACAGAAGTAACTAGATTATACTTGCTGTTGGATACACTTCTGCTAGATCAACATTGAGACATGCTAGTGAGCAAACATACCACAGTTTGCAAACCTGCCTGGCGTATTTCCTTCAAATAGTTGGATAGACTTTAATATGAACTGGTAGTGCAGTTTGGCTCTGAAAACTTGCACCAGTGTAAAGCCAACAGTCTTTGACATGGTCTCTTTCTCTGTGTACAGGAACAATGGTTCCTTCTTGGCTGATGTTAAAGAATGTTTTATTGCAGGGAGCAATATAGAAACATGGCACTAAAAGAGGAAGCAGAGTTCTACTGCTGGCTGGCCATTAATTAAGATTTCCCAATTCAGTGCCAGTGAYAAAAAAACTTTCAGATTCTGGGCTCAGTTTGTAGGAGAAAATACAGCTCTAAAAGCCACTAAATTTTATCTAGAAATCAGAGATAATAATCACAAAACTGTAGGAAGTAGATTTTATGAAGTCTCTTCCTAGAGCAAAACTCGCTTGTCTCATGTTGCAGTATGATGTCTCATTTTTGGTCCTATACACAAGCTACTAAAATATTATTCCTCAAAAATGTAAATGTGTACTGTAGATTTCTTTTCAATTTTTTGAAAAAAATAAAAAAGCTTATGCTGATCATAATTGGAATGATTTTTATCAGATTTTTTTAGGATTTACTAGATTTTAAATACCTATTTAAATGGCTATATCATACTAAAGTCCTGTTCTCTTTTTCCAGCTGTGTCTGAAGAAACTCTAAATTGTAGAAAATTCACTTATCAAATGAGAAAATCATACTTACTCTCATCTAAAGGRAAAGTTCTTGGTCAATACTAGAGCCAGGAAAGTATACAGGAAAATACCACTTATCTGCAAAGAACTTCATCTTCACACCACAATGTATCTTTCCTGTAGACAGCATGGCAGAAGATTTTCCRTCTGTCTGTCTGCATATTTTTGTTGCATATTACATACCTTCTTGATGTGGATGTCTACTTTAACTGAAATACATAAAAAATACTGAAATGCTTAAAAATGACAATTGAATTTTTCAACTAGCTATACATGACTACTTCATTTACAGTAATGCCAGTCATACTTGAATTACCTAAGGAAATTTAATCAAAATGTTAAAGATCTACCAARACTCAGGTTTTTTTWAAAAAAAACCCAAACACAAAATGAGATTACAAAATGTAATTTGTTCTTCAAGAAATAAATTTCCAATATGCCTTGGAGGCACTCTTAATTGTTTTCTGTAAATCACTGCATTTTGCCTTTCTTTGCCAAGAACTATCAGAATCACAGCCATGGCTSGCCAGTTTCTTGGTCCAAGAAGAAATCAATGATCATCAAGCACTTYCTATTGTTGTTACTTTGTAAGTACAAATCCTTTCTTCCAGGGGGCATAGCAGCAAACTGTACAAATAGCAGGCTTTTGCAGACAACCCAAGAATGACATCAGTGCACTGAAGTGGTGTTTTGCTCTGAATGTCTGAATGCTTTGATACCAAACTCGGTTCCTGATGCTTTATGCATCTTTCTTGCTTGAAAACCCACTGCTAATGTGGTTTCTGCCTTTTCATACTGTGAGACCAGTGGCCTGGCCTCTCACTTCTCACCAGTCAGGTGCATGCAGAGCTGAATTTCCTGCAGACCTGGCTGGTGTGGCTGTTTCATGTGGTGTTGGTGATTCTGGTTTTGCTGACTGTGTGCTGTGACTCTCGTTTGGAGCACTYGCCTCAGTAACCAGTAGCAACCAAGCCACTGCTGTCCTTTGACATTACACCGTAGTCACCTGCTATAGTTAGTACACCAAAATAAGCCACTTGCAAATCCATCAAAAATCACAACATAGTTAAAGCAGGATCTTTAATAACACCAAGATGATGGGTTTAATCCCTTYATGGGCTATTCACTTAAGAGCTGGGACTCAATGGTCCTTGTGGGTGCCTTCTAACTCAGAACATTCTGCGATTCCGTGAATGGCATCCCACAGACTGGAGCCAACTAGTACTTTAAAACCATAACCGCCCTTAATCAATGCACCACTTCCACCACGAAATGCTKCATTTCAGAGCTTGTGCATCCTCCACGGAGCCATCCCGGCTCGTTGCRGAGCGGACAGAGCTGCCGAGTGCCGCAAAAGGCCCGTTTGCAGCAGCGAGGCGTTTGCGGCAGCGCGGCCGGGCCGGGCGGGCAGAGGCGCGGCGGCCGTGCAGCATGCTGGACCCGGAGGGCAGTGTGGAGCATCAGCCTGCCTCCTCCTTCCCCAAAGTCCTCCTCATCCCTCTAGCCATGCTCTTCGCAATTGCAGCGCTCCTGCTCTTAGTCTTTTCCGCTACGCGGCAGAAGGAGCCTGATTTTTACACTTTCAAAGTTGTAAACATCAGGGGCAAGCTTGTGTCTCTGGAGAAGTACAGGGGCTCGGTAAGTGCGGCGGGGACGGGCGGCTGCCGCCCGGGCTCACTAACAGSCAGCCCTTGCATGTCCGCGGAGCGAGCGCGGGGGGAGAGGGCTCGGAGCCTCGCTGCACACCCGTGTGCATCTGGGCTGCTCACTCTGGGACTGACGGGACCCCGCGCTGCCCTTTATCGGACACGTCTGGCTAACACAGGCTCCTCTTCAATAAAGCGTTTGCAGTCTAACCCGCCGTGTGTGTCCGCGTCTTCTCCTTCTGCAGCCGCCTGCTGCCTGTAGACGTGGCAGGCAGGGAATGCGGCCCTCCTGCCATTCTTGCAGTAGGATGGATTGCTCTGGATTCTGGCTATTTCACTGGAAACTCAGAAAGTTTGTGTCTTTGTGTAACTTACTTTTGGAWTTTATTTCTGCCTTTTAACTGCATGACTTCTTGTATGTTATTCTTATCTAAATCCCACTCCTTTTTCATGTGCTACATTAAAAAAAAAAAAAGGGATTTGATCAGTTGCTAATGGAGTTTACAGATTTCACCGTAGTTAGTAAAAGCATGAGAMGTTATAAAGTATCAGAGTATCGTGAAATTGTAACAACGTCATGCAATTCCTCTCTCGCTTTTTAGTGTGACAGCAGTTGAAGAAGGACACGTAGGCACATACACTTTTATGATGGCTTCTAMATTTTATCTACATATTACATTAAGGATTTCTAGGCAGAGCTTTCCACAGCATTTTAAAACAATGTCTTTGACTTAAAATTATTTTATTTAATTTTACTAGTGGTTTGATCATCTAGGAAAGATGATCAGTACCTATGGAAGTGTGAAAATAGAACTTAGCRCACTGATTATACTTAATACTGTAAACTCTTGTAGCCCCATTCACAAATTATAGAAGCTAAAATCGGCATAAATCCCACAAGTGCCGCTCTTAGCACTCAAGTGACACRTCTATGATACAGTCAGGCAGTCCAATAGTTAGCTGCTGCCCAAAAAGGCAGCATCACATCTCACTTTCATCCTTTTTCTYCAGCTTTTGTGTTTTCACCTTCTTCTTTCCCCTCCTCAGGTGTCTGAGCTCACTGATTCATAGCAGCAGGTCACCAAGACAATGGCAGGAAGACAGAGAGGGTATACAAGGATAATGACATTTTCTTGAGCTCAGCAGAAAGGGATGCTGGTGGATTTGGATCAAATGAGAGGTCTAAATCTTATCTGGTCAAAGTCCTCATCCCCTTCATTCACCACTGAGATACAGCAGAACTGGTCCCATGCCCACTCAAATATCTATGTTGGAGAAAAACATGGAAGCTGTGTCATATTGAGCAATATTTGTGCTTTTWAAATTAGCTCCTTCCAAAGGCTCTGTCAATAAATCCTGTTGCTAGGGCATGTTTTGTCTGCACATCATCTGCTAATCTGAATAAGCAAATACCACCTGTAGCTTCTCTATCTCAGGGCCAGAATCCACATGGAAAGGAGTTAAGGGGAAACTTGGAAGAATTCCTTACAGCCACTCCACAGAATGCTGGGGGTGTTCATCCCCTCTGGAACAAGCTGCAGAGCCTGGTGTGGAATCTCCTGAACAGGCAGGTTCAGGGTGTGTGCTGTACCCCAGTGCTGGGATTCCAGGCCATCCCCACGGCATGAACTGGCTTCATAAACAGGAACTCTAGAGCTGTGCCTGGGAAAGGTAATACCATTGAGGAATGGTATTCTTTGATCTCATCTAGGCCTCATGGAATAGTTTATTCCAAAAAAGTGACAATCAGCTTCTGTATGGAATAAAAGATAGATTTGCATTCAGAGATCCTATTAATKTTCAGGCTACCTGCCCTTTGATAATACATGTGCATAATTTTAAAGAAAATTACAGCAATAAAACACATCCCTTCCTGTCATTATGTTGTCAGAACTCAGTATCAAGATAGAAAAAGGTTAATTAAAACTCCCCTTTATTTCTTAAAATAAACTTGCTTAAATCTGCAGTTAGATAAGTGATGTTAAGGCGTAGGTTTATCATAATATTTTAAAGCTATTAAAAGAAAGCAAATAATATTAAAGTACTACGTGTGTGCCGGTGGTGTTTAAAGGAAAGTGAGTCACTAGTTAGCTCCTGGAACAATAGTCTGCTAATTGCTAAACCAGCTTTTACCAGCCTTAAGCTTTCTGGCAGATGTAAAGAAGACATTTTCTTCAATTCAGTCACCCAGCTAATTTATTTAAATAACTACTTAATTGGTAGTCAGGAAACTTACTTGGAATTGAAAAAATCCAAAGGCTTCCAGACTAAAAAAATTAATAAAGTCTGCTAATTCCAAAACCACAAGAGCCTTGTTAAGTATAAACAATCAGTGCAATTCATGACTGGCAGAATTGTTTTTCAATAACTCATTATTAATATAAACTTCTGTGTATTCAGATGATTGAAACAATTTTGTCAGAGTAAGAAAGAAAAGACTGATTGATATTAATTCACTTTCTACTTGAGTGTATCTTGATACAAACCACAATTAACCTTTGTTATATAGAAAAGAAAGGGAGGACTATTACCACTGAAAAAAGAGTTGCACAAGTGACATAGATCAAAAAAATGTCTGGTTTACTGTGTTGTGGAGAAGGCCATCCTTCTATGGCTTTTCCATGCTACCATAAAATGATGACCCATCTACATTAAAAATGAAGGACAGTGATGATGGCTGGACAAGAATCAAGAGGATCCAAACAAGATTCGTTTTCTATCTAATCTAATTCAGCCATCTTCTGTTTTATGGTCTGTATCTGATATGCTGTAAGAGGCAGTATTCTTACCAAAAATAGTACRTATTTGGGAGTCAGAACTCCCAAACATCAACTGTTCCCTGCTGTGTTTATGCCTATGTAATGGTACCAATCTACAACCCAGCTAAATACAGTGTGCTGGGGTGGAATTAAGCAGTGTCAGTGCAGTGCCTTTGGAAATCTTGAACCATAGGTACTATAATCATGTAAAAGCATTAGGTACTATAATAATCTAAGTATTATTTTTGACTAAGTATTATTATTGAAAGTAATGCTAGGCACTCTGGACCAGAGCTTGTTTCAATCAGAGAATGTGGCGTTCCTGAGTGTGATAAATACAGAGCACAGCCACTGAATTACAAATATTGCTATTTGTCCCATGAAGGTGACAATTCCATGAGTTGGTGCAATCTGACACTTGTGGCTGGTTCTTCCATCAGTCAGACGGAGCCAGTTTAGAATCTCCGGGTCTAAAAACCCAAGTATCCACTGTCTCTGCTGAAAGATGAGCAAAGGRTTACTTATTCCTGAATCTGTCCCAGGATTTTTCCCTAAAGGAGGCAGGCTGGTGTAAAAGTCAAGTAAAACAAGAAGAGTTTTTGCAGGGTTAAATAAATGAGTTCACTGCTAGAATGCATGGGTTTTCTGAGCAAAGGGAAGGAAAGGATAATATTAAAAGGTCAGACAACAGCTGAAAAAGAATTCCACTGAAATGAAATAATTTTGTGAGGTCCATTGAACTGTTTGCACTGCACACTAGGTGGTGTGCTTGACTTGCACTCTCAGAGCCTAAAGTCAGGCATATTGAACTTAATTTAAATCATTAATAGCTGTAAGAAGTCAAAATACAGCCTCCACATGAGAGCATTAAGAGAGACCGTTATTTATTAAAAATAAAAGACAGACCAAAAAAAAAAATCACTACATTAAATCACTTCCAATACCAGACACCTGAAAGATAACTCAGTAAATATTTTTAAAGAATCATTTTAAACATTCCTTGGGAAATAGTAATAGATAATGAAAGTTTTCATTATATGTGTAAGTTATACTTTTAAGAGGCTTGCACTATTACATTATAGAGTTCAGTAATGGAGAGTTCAGTTACAGAGAATGCATTTTTCTAAGGGTAAAAGAGAATCATAATGTGTCTGCCATCMCAGGAAATGCTGCACATAATTTCCATCTGTTTTGGGGAAAATGTTTGGAAGTTTGCACTGTTTGCACTGTAAGCTCTTAAGCCTTTCACCACCATGTCAAGTAATCACTGTTTTTAAACAGCTGTAAGTTAAAATTGGGGGGTTTTTGAGTGAATTATTTCAAGCCCTCTTTTTACTTAAAATCAAGYAAAAGTTATAAAAGCATGATTGTTTTCACTGGCAATTCCTCTTTCATATCTGCTTTTAATATGAACACAATGCCTACACAACCTTATTTCCTCCAAACGTCCAAAGATAAATTCTTACATTACCATTCYATTTGAGATAAAGTACCAATAGCAATGAATTCAATAAAGTGTATGAATACTTCTGCATCGTGAAAATGCCAAGGCCTAAACTATATTTAAAAAAGCTTCTAAAATTTCATGTGGAAGAATTACATGTGACTTCAGCTCTTAGTTGTGTAGTTTATCTTTACTTCATACTAAACWACAGTTACCACTATGCTCAGTAAATCAGATTATTTGAAAAGAACAGAACTGCCAATAGTTATTTTTTATRTCCAACAAATAAATTCCATTTGAAATGCTGAGAGTCTACAACAGGAATGCATCATAAAATTACCTCTTCTCTAGGAAAAAAAAATCTAATTACATGCCATAACTCTGGATGTTTTAGGAGGCTGAATTTTAAATTTCAGGCACAGCTTGTAAGTTTTGTCTGAATGAAAGTGGTGATATTTGGAGGTCAGGTGGCTGCAGGTCATATTTCAAGTGTACAGGGGTTGCTTAGATTGCATCCTGTTGATACATTACACCACAAAGTAGATTACACCAATTTGTGCTCTGTAAGATTACCTGCCTTCCAGGGAAAGGAGTGCTACTCCAAAGYCACTTTAAATTCAGGAGYTGGACTTTGATGATGCTTGTGGGTCATYCCAACTCAGGATATTCTATGATTCTATGATAGCCATATAGCTACACAAAGTAGAAAATACACAAAGTGTTAATGTTTAATGTAAGAAATCACAAACACCAGCATCCCCTTAGYTTTTTGTTTACTCATTCCTACCCATTCTAAACATTTAATCTTATGATCCTATACTTTACCCAGGTATGTACTTTTACATGCCAGTTTGTTTTCTGGTTTTAAAAACACTATGCACATGTGGGCATTTTTTTTCATGAAATAGAATTTATTTGCCACATCCTATTTTCTTAGACACTTTTGTATGGAAGTATTAGAATAGACTCAATTTATATAGAATGAGCGGTAACTCACGAACTCATGAGAATAATAAAAGAGTGTAAGTCTAAAAGTAAATTCCAAATGTTATTTAAAGATAAAATATCTCAAAAACCAATGACAAATTCTTCACAGCTTTGTGAAACTATAATATGTGTCAGTTCATGCTTAAGTCACTTAATTTTCCCAACAAATTCTGTCGTTCCTGTAACGCTCACCTGTCTGTGACAGCCTCCTCCCAGCTGGATCTGTGCTGGATCTGTGACACAATGCACAYGGCATTGAAATGATCCACTGCAGGAATGACTTCAAAGGAGAGTGGGCAGCCTTCATCCTTGGGATYTCTAATTGAGGCAGTAAACCTTTGTGCAAAAACAGTTACCATTTTCTCACAACTGAGTAGATTTACTCTGGAAGTGATGGGAAGTTTTATAACCCCAAATCCTGTAATTGCTTCTGTTAACTTCCAGCTTCTCTTTACTTCCATCTACACTGGCAATGATAAACGGATCAGCCAGTTCTGTGTAGGCACCAAATTCTGTGCAAGGAAAGATGTTGCAGAACAGATGCTTCACAATAGATAAATAACAAAAAATACAWCAATTTGCTTTTCTTTTGTGCAGCTGGGTATATCTGAGCTGGATCGTCACTTCTTAAATGTGCTTAGAAACTGTYCAAAAGGCAGAATGGAGAAATACAGATTCTCTGTAAACTGAAAATTAAGGTTGCTTAGCAGTTGATTAAGTATCTTAATGGTTGCCACAGAGGAGTACTTATAAGAAATATTAAATCTTCCTTTTGTGTACAGAAGTCATTTTAGTTTCAAATGTGTTCGGTCACCATTCCCTACCATTCCCTAGACTCTTCTTTTTTTTTTTTTTTTTTTTAATAATCTGCATTCCAGCTTACCTGTTGGAAAACTGACACGTGCAGCACATTTTTAAATGTGCTCTCTTGTTCCTCAGGTGTCTCTAGTTGTCAACGTTGCAAGTGAGTGTGGGTACACAGACAGCCACTACAAGGCCTTACAGCAGCTACAGAGAGACCTGGGCCCCTACCATTTCAATGTGCTGGCATTCCCCTGCAATCAGTTTGGGCAGCAAGAACCAGACACCAACAAAGAAATTGAGAGCTTTGCACGAAAAACTTATGGTGCCACCTTCCCTATGTTCAGCAAAATCRCAGTCAGTGGAGCTGGTGCAATTCCTGCCTTCAAATACTTAATTGGTRAGTAACCTACAATGCTGGAGGATTGTTTCTCCAGTAAAGAATTCCTCTGACACAAAATACCATCCAACAGAATAAAGATAYCTATGGTTGTGTTCCCAGAGTTGTCAGACTCAAAGAGGTCAGAAGTCATGTAGTCAAGTCATGTAGTCCCTCCTCTTGTGCAGGGCAGGATTTTTCTGTCAACCTCTGACAGCTTTGACATACCTTCCAAAAAGATCTCCAGAGACCAAGACACATCAATAGCAGATGCCTTGTAAAAGATGATCCAATAAACTTCTATATGGAATATAGGTCTTGAAATATTCTCTCTGCATACAACACCCTGACCTTACTTTTTCCACTGTGCAGCCTCAGTGACACAAATGCTGCAGGTTGGATTTAGAAGACTCATCTCAAGAGCTGTAGGATAAGTGGAAGGAAAGCACCTCATAATTTAATTTACTTAAACAATCAAAAAGTGAAATCAGGCACTTAAAGTTGTCCTTGAACATTCCCTTCCTCATTCCTCCCCAAGTACTAGAACAGCCCTACTGTACAGTTCCTCCAGTTCCAATCTGCATTATAGCCAGCGCTGAGACCTGAAGASGTTTTGCTGGTTCTTACCAGCCAGCTGACAAAATACACATTCTCTATCAAGACACTACTTTTCTTGTGCTGAAGAAGAGCTCTAAATACCATTTAAATGCTAAATTGAAATGCCTTRACCCAATGTGAAGGAAATGTCTTTCAGCAATGAAATACAGTAAAACCCAGTGCGACACCTCAGCTGCATTCTGCAAGGACCAGATCCCCACTGCCTCTCTGCAGCACTCCAGTGTTCTCCATAAACCACTGAATTTATGTTATGTTTAATAATGTTATTATTATTATTATTTTTAAATACCCCAAACTCACCTCCTTCCAGCTGTCTGTAATGGATCCCTCTGCGCGCCAAACTTCTCTGTAATCCTTTCGCATCTCTGTTTTGCCCAGGAGGGTTGTTCCTACAGACATGTCCCAGGAAATTTGTAAAAMCTTGTGTTTCCCTGTTGGCCTGCCTGCAGAGGGAGGCTGCTGGAGGCTGGGCCTTTATTCAGCACAATTACACTATAGTTAAAAGTGTAGGTCTGGCTGTGTCTTGATGATACTTTGAAATAACTTCTGATTCTTATGAGGTTTTGCCCAAGGTATGATCAGTGGAAAAAAAAGATGCTAATTTGTCTGTAGCRTCTGTACTTGTGCTTTTAGTGGGATGAGGTTCCTGGTCTAATTGAAAGTCCTGAAAATCTTGTTAGTCACATAGCAGAATAGTACAGGGTAYGAGTGTGACTCATGTAAAAGAGTATGTGATCAGTAGATGAGAATTAAGTGGAAACTTGGAACAATCACTTCGTTATTTCTTTGTGTAGCATTTTTTTAAACAATCTTCTGAAGCATATGATAGTGGGTGCTTTTGGAGAGAAAATTCTGGATAAGCAAGTAATCAGTCTTGGTGCTGATAGCTATATTGTCGTGTCAAATTCCATTTTCCTGTTGGTGCTCAGGTATATCTGTAAAGCACAGCCACACACACACACATCCCCTCACAAACTTTAACACTGATTATTGTRCTTTCCCCTATCTCAAGATTCCCTGTGTACATAGTCTCCAAGGAGCTGCTGTCTAGTTAAACTTCCCTGTCTGTCAGAAAATTAATCTTATTCAGTCTGAACTTCCACATAATTTTACATTCCTTCTCCCTCTGAGARGTTAATAATCAAATTGACATGAACAAATGTCAGGAATTGACTGATGTGGTTTTCTAATATTTAACTTTTTTTTTCCTCCCCTATAGAATCTACAGGAGAAGAACCAACTTGGAACTTCTGGAAATACCTAGTGGGTCCCAATGGGAAAGTAGTAAAGGCCTGGGACTCTACTGTCTCTGTAGAAGAAATAAGACCCCATGTTACAGAACTTGTAAGGAAAATCATCCTAAAGAAGAAAGATGAATTATGACTTTCAAAAATCTCAGTGTGCAAGTTGCATCTTAGTTGAGAATTATGGCTGGACTTTCTATTATCACATTCCAAAAGAGATGATATGGGGAAGGGAAATTATGGCCAGTTGAATCTCTATTCACCATCCTAAGAACGTAGACAACAGCAAATTAGCATGGTCAAAGTAACTTAACTTTTTTCTCCAATCAAATTCAGTTTGAGTTTTCTAGGAAAGATAAATCTTCAGCAACTGTTTCTTTCCCGATTTAATTATTAATTGTTAGTAACACTACAGGAAGCCAGTCCATGTAGGAAGAAAGATCAGATTAATGAGAATTTCCTGGCTGGGATCTCACTGATACCTACAATTCTGTTGTCATATTTTGATATGAATTAAAAAACCGAATTAAAAAAANTCCCGATTTAATTATTAATTGTTAGTAACACTACAGGAAGCCAGTCCATGTAGGAAGAAAGATCAGATTAATGAGAATTTCCTGGCTGGGATCTCCCTGATATCTACAATTCTGTTGTCAATTTTGATTGCAAACTGAATAAAAAAAAGAAAAAAAAAAAAAAGAAAAAAAAGAAAAAAGTGCATGATTGACTTAAAGCATGTGCTAGGAAGAGGGCCAAACAGATACCTTCAGACCAGGCAGAATTCGCATGTTCCAGTTACCACAGCCAAACACAGCTAATTTCATCTTTAGAAGGGTGTTGGGGAAGCACATCGATAAAGCCTAAATGAAAGAAATAAGAAGACAAAGTCTCTGTAAAAATTCTCAAGATGCTCTGAGAAGAATTTCTGCATTTTTTCACAAAGTAAAGATTATCAGATGATATCTAGTCATTTGAACATCTGTAGGACCAGAGCCTACATAAAATGGCTAATTCTTTCTTGTACTAGCATTTTGCTTTAGAATAACTCACCTCATAAAACTGATGTTAAATTTCTTTTTCAATTTGTAACACTATCCAATTTTGCTGCATGTRCAGACAAACATCAGACAATCAAAATATTTTTTCCAGGGAAATAATTTTGCAAATGTTTAATTCTTGCATTATGTTGCACAGTTTAATAGCACATTAGTGTTACAAATACTTAATGGCACCTTCTTCAACTGTAGCAGTCAGGGAKCTTCTCAGACCTCTGAAGTCCCTAGCTCATGGTAAAATAATAACAAAACTAATAACACTAACATTTGCAGCCTCATTGTTCCTTGACAGAAACCCTTTGAAAATCTGGTCAGGAAAGAGCTCTTTTTATCTCAACAAAAACACAGCATTCCCGTCCTCTTAACCTCAGGATGCCTTAAGGACAATCTAGTCTTGCCCAATTGCAATATTACTGATGAGTGAAAGCCTTTTTCATGCTTTCTGATGCTTTTTCAAGCAGCACAAACTGTGTTTGTCCATATAGTTGTCAGGACCCATGTGTACAAACAAACCTTCTTTATAAGATCTGACCAGGGTAAGGACTTTTTCCAACTCATCGCTGCCATTAGAGCTCTTCACTGTCCAAACAGGCTTTTGTTGAAATCAAAGGCAGATATTATGGCATGCCTTGGCTTGCAGAACAAGAGGGGAAAGAGGAATACTGACTGTACTCATTTTGTGGAGCTCTTTAAGGAAGTAAGAGCTCCAGGTACTTTAGGATTTGAAGGAAGAACACGAAGGGCAGAGATTATACTGTACAAAACAATCTCAAATTGCCTGGAAGAAACTGAGAGCAAGGTTTTTAAGTTTTAGGGAAAAAAAGAAAGGGGTTGGAAGAGAGAATAAAAGGAAAAAGTAATAGAAGAACATACATAAAAGGAGAAATCAAGTTAAAAGGAAGAAATTAGAAGGAAATGTAAGGACAGTTTGCAGCCAAATAATCATTGGGACAAATGAGGCACGGAGATGTTCAAGTCTGAACATTGATACTAATGAATATGTTCCAAGCTCTATCAGCTACTTCTCACTTGAACTGTAACTTAAGAGTGCAGGAAATTGGTGCTTGTGGCAGTATGTATTTTCCTCCTCTGGTGGTGAGAGAAGTGAGCTCTGTGCCTGATTCAGTCATTTAGTCTATTCTTACATGGATCACCCTAAGACAATGGTTGCTAAGGATATCACAAAGAAAGGAAAATCAAGCTCAGCTGATACTGTGCAGGGACAGAGAATTGGACTCCTGGAAAAGGAGATCTTGACTACTCTAYAGACTGTTTCTCTTTTCTCTGTCCTTTGACACTAAGGCAATGCTCCAGTATGCTCTTAGCAAGTGCTGCAGGGCTGAAAATCTTCTCCTTAGGAAGTTTGTTTCYATTTTATATCTGAAGCCTGGATGAGACCAAACCCGGCTATGAAAAATATTTTAAGTCCTTTCTATTTCAATCTTTTGTGTCCAACTTCAAACAGAACTCTGGATTTACATACTAACCATCTTCCATTCTCTATTAGACAAATTCTTCAATTCTAAAGAGATATAATGCAAGGTACAGTTGGGAAGGTTTTGTCCTACATGGATAAATACTGTTTGTGCTGCTTTTAAAGTCATTACAAAGCACAAAAAAAGCTTTCACTTGTCAATAATACTACAATTGGAGAAGACTAGATTCTTCTTAAAGCATCCTGGGTCTAAGAGCAGGGGACCTGAGTGTTATGTTCTCATTGAGATAAAAGAGCTCCTCCTGACAACATTTTCAAAGGGTTTCTGTCAAGGAACAATGAGGCTGCAATTGTTAGTGTTATTATTTTAGTGTGAGTGAAGAATTTCTGCAATTTGAAGTCTGAGCAGATGCCTGAGTGCCATGAATAACTTCAGGCTGAATCTGTCAGAATTGGTGCTTGTACAAGTGTGGCCATTTAAAGAGAACTAAGGTAAGTATTACATATGCAAGCCTTGAAAAACAACATATTTGAACAGACACATGATTCTAAGCCCATAGATACTCTCTCTGAAGTTAACAGATACCTTTTCATTATTAAATTAGGCATGTGGTGTAGATTCCATCCTTTGACGCACTAAATCAGTTTGTAGAACAAATGGTCTGGCCTTTTAATCAAAGTTTGGGAGTAAAAGTAAATATTCTCAGTTGTAGATTAATTCRTATCTGGTCACACTGTAAGTACTTCATTACTTCCTGCTCAGAAAAATTGGAAACCRAATTGCACAGGGTTGAATTTTACTGTTGAGACAGAGAGAGCATGCAGAGATCAAAAATTACTTTTTTTGCCTCCTGAATTCCAGCACTGTTTTAATCTGACAGAGATCTTCCCTACAGCAAGTCCTGAAAACTGTAAACCAGCTCTGAATCTATAGCATGAGACTGGTGTTCCTTGCCATTTATCTGCTTTGCAGAGGAAATAGCAGTGTGTATTAACAGATGAGCACATTGATGCATGAAGAGTGATTACCTTGATCATCTAAGGCATGATCTACAGATTGCAACTTTAAAGGTGTAAACTCTTGGTCTGTTGAAACTCTTGGCCTGTTGATCTAAACATTAAACTGAGCACTTGGACAAGATAGTATGTAGCCAAATGCCCCCTGTGGCATGCCATAGGGAAAAGAAATAATTTTAAAGCCTAAATTTAAGTTTAAAACGAGACAGGACACTTTTGATCYTTTGAAACTGTGTCTCATAAAGAATGCAATATCAGACATACATGAATCMAAAGTTCTGTTTTGAAATGGAAATGCTACATTGAAAAAGAGCAATTGAATGAAGYAATGGAGAGGGGTTTAAACCTCCTTTTTTAGCATTATAAGCAGAACAAAACCAAATACCCTAGTTATTCTTACAGTCATATCTGCTAGGAGCATTTAACTTGAGTTTCTATTGTCATTTTAGTCAGAAGTGTCAGTGGCAAACTAGACACAATTTCTCTGTGCTGGATGGTACTCAATTCATCCTTTAAATAGCATCTCATTCAATAAATTGTGAATCTTAGTCAGGATTTTCAGAAGACTGGTCATCCCTTTGGTTATGCTACTTTTGATTATTGTATCAGCCAAATGTATTTTACGCACAGGTAGATCTTTACTGCATCTACTCAGAAAGCCAAATGAAATTTAACACGATTATTTGTGACTAATTCACAGAAATAATTGAGTAAGTAGAGAAATCAGGTATTCGCTGCGASAATTAACAGATCCTGCAGTAAAAGCATCACTGACAAAACACAAAGGAGTTTGCAAACCTTTTGACAGATGAGATTCTGAAAGCACCAAATTTGAGAATTAATTTTTAACCATATTAAAGCTCCACATCAGAGACGAACACAGCGCAAAARGAAATCACTGATCTGTACCAAACATCATCTCAAAGGTGATCTGTGATCTGGTGCTACACAGTTAACTCATCTACACAGGCAGCTCACAAACACAGTGATGCCCACAATATAGGGTAAGAAACAACAAAATATCTTTTATGCCAACTCTGCAGCACCTTGGCATAGACAACAGTGGAGGCTTTTCTAGTGACAGTGGCTGCCCTTTGCCAGCTGTCTCTGCACAGCAGCTGCAGGCAACCCCAAGAAACTTTCCATCCTTGGCCTAGAAAACCTGATCCAAGCCATGAAGTCTAAAAGATAAGACATGCTGTTTTATCTAAAGCACTGCACAATACCTGCTCAACAAGAAGAACTTCTAAACTAATTCCTGGAAATAAGAACAATTGAAAGATGATTATATTGTATATATAATACAAGCAGGCTTGTATTCTGGAAGGTAAGCACAGACATGAGTTTTTAAGGTGATTCTGCTGATGGAGATTCTTTACCCTCTTTCAAAGCAGAACTAACAGCATCCGCCTAGTCAGGGACAAACTTTTCCCTGAGCACTAATTGATGAAACAGTGACAGCACAAGGAAATTATAGTATTCTAAAGCAATAGAAAAGACTGAAGTACAATTTCAAATTTTTTGTGGAGAACAAACTTGTATAATGCCTGATCTGTAATTGCAGTTCTGTGGAACACTTCGCCATCAAGACAGAAATTACAGATATTCCAGCTTCAGGGAGCTGTCATTTTAGCTTCCTTAAGTGAAAGATGCAGTAAGAAATATGTTATTGCATTATATAAAACAGTCCACTGGTTTTTTGGTTCCCCTGGCCCTAAAGACATTGCTGTTCCATCATAATCAGTGCTTTCAWCTGAATTATAGGATATACCATTATATTTTTCTTTATCAAGCAAGGAAATCTGGTAATGATAAGTAAAGAACAGCTGGCAAAGAAAATATCCATAACCCACAGATTGTTTATCCATCCTTTTGAAAGGAGTACAACAGTCAAATCGTTCCTTATAAGTAAAGAGCTTGCTGAATTCCCTGTTTAAATTATAAATTAGCTTCTCTAACCCTTCGTTAGAGTCACATCACTCATTCTGATTTGTC